ATTAAGTTTTATATGAATGTGGTCCAACAAACAATAATATTTACGACTCAGCCTCCCTTTCAATAGAGTCCTTGCTATACTAGGGGAAGCCCCACGCTGTGCGTAGGTTTGAATTATATTAAAAAAAAATTAGGGAGAATTGGCAATTTACCCCAAATTGAAGTTTTCTTGTCCATTTACACTTTTTTGAATTTGGTCTTTTTTGGTCAAGATTGCCCTTTGATATTTCTAGAAACTCTAAGTAAGGTTTTTAAAGTGAAACAAAATTCCATAAATCCTAAAAATGATCTCAAGGCTGTGTAAAATATTTCAACATTTTTGAAAATGTTTAAAATATTTTAAAAAATATTTGAAGTTTCGTTCTACAAATCGATAATATCAAAGTAGAATTCGTTTTCTACAAGATATTCATAAGTCTAACAGTCATAGAACATAATATCTACAACTTATTCATACCTCTTCCGGTAATATCTACTAAGTACTATAAGATCTACCGTTTTGTAGAAGTTGCACCAACTATCTTCTACACAACGAAGTATGTTCTACTACTCGTAGATTTCAAGTTCTATAGTAAACATTGCTATCTACAATAGGTAGTTTTCGTATCCTACGTGTTTGACAGTAATCTATGACCCGCAGAAGTAGTGTTCTACTAAAATCTTGTTTTCTACTATCGTGTTTCTAATACATAATCTAGCAAAATCACCGTCCTCTACTTTTAGTAGAAGTCATGTTCTACGAAAATCGAGAAAATATAGCAATCTGAATATTTTTCAAATCTTTCATTCCTTTTTTCCTCAAACTATCCCAAATCAAAGGAGAGAAGAAGTTTTTTTTTTTGTTGGTTTATTTTTTAATTAGTTTAGTTTTGTTAATTTGTCTTTTTATTTAATAAATTTTAATTTATAAAACGAAAAATGGAAATAAAATGAAAATGAAGGGCAAAACTGAGAAAATTGTTTTTAAAAAGGTATTGGGACAAAGAGGAAATGAGAAGGTGTAATGGGACAAAAGAGACTTCATTTTGGGGTAAATAGCCAATTCTCTCAAAAATTTAACATTTCATTGAGTGTCCAATGTGTATTATATAAACTACACAATCAAGTTATTGGAGACTCAGGGCCTGATTGGTTCTCCCGCTACCACCCGCAAACGCAGCGTTTGCGGTTCGTAGCGGTTTTCGGCGGTTTATAACAATCACGACAACCGCTTTGAATCGCTCTATACCACTCTGTACCGCTCTATATCGCTGAAAATCAAAAGCTCCTTTCCGCAAGCGTTTGCGGTTGCGGGCGGTTGCGGGTGGATAATTAAAAAAAAAAAAAACACAAACTTATATAAAATCCGAAAATAAATAATAATATTTATTAAAAAATAAGATTTGGATAATAAAATCACAATATACTAAAAAATTAGTACTTTTAGTCAATATTCATTAAAATCATATAATACTTATATATTTATAAGTTCTACAAATCAAAATTCTCTTCATAAATATTCTTTTCATACTAATACATATATATCTAATAAATGAAATTGTAAAATAAATTTAATTTTCACATTAAATATATATTTTGAAAATAAAATCACATTTTTATTTAAATTATAGAAATTAAAAAATAGACGTAAGTATTATACACATATTATTCTTTATAAAAAAATTATTTTTAATTATGTTGAACCATAAATTTAAAATTTTCATTATAATATAGTTTTGATATTTTTATAATTATATAATGTGTTTATATTATTAATTTATTGTTTAACCGCTATTGCATCCGCAAGTGAACCAGTCATAAGTATCCCGCAAACGCATCCATTTTCAATTGTTATGCCAGTCGTACAAACCGCTTAATAACGCTAATAATGTTGAGACATGTACAATACGAACAAGTTCAATACATGAAACACATTCACTCTTCTTCTCTCCACGTATAAACCTACCTCTCCATCCTCCTTCTCCAATAGAAACCTATTTCATCTCCCTCTCTCACATACGTAACTCTCTCTCTCTATCACATCTTCTTCTTCTTTATTATTAATAATCATCCACTATATCAAATATAGTGGTACAGTTTAGTTTTTTATAACACGTTATCAGCACGAACTGCTCTTATATTCTGTCTATTCAATTTTATTGTTTATGATATGCCGGGATGCTAGGTTGTACCTACTCCGAGCAAATGATCATATGGTAGACTATGTCACCTTAGATCATATAAGAGTTGATGGTAAAAACCTCCTCTTGGAGTTGAGACTTTGCCTCCTCCTGAATATTTACTTTTCTGTAATTTACTTTTTCGCTATTTACTTTCTGCCATTTAAATTCCTGCTATTTACTTTCTTGCAATTTAAATTCAGCACCTTAATTTTTACTAAATTCATGCTGTTATAATGCTCAAATTTTTATTACGCAAATTTGAATTTAATTGAATTTTTAATTAATGAACTGGTATATGATCTATGCAGATATCATGTCAAATTTGGCTAAGCTCGAAATTTCCGCCCTTGATATTTCTGGAAACAATTATATGACATGGGCAATAGGTGCAAAAATGCATCTAAAAGGAAAATGGGCTTCTTGATGCCATTGACAAGTCGAAAGAAACATCCGATGACAAAAAGGCGAAAGCCATGATCTTTTTCCTTCATCATATCCACGATGGTTTAAAAGATGAATACATCACTAAAGAAGATCCTGCGGATCTTTGGCAATCTTTGAAAGAAAGATTTGACCATCAAAAATATATAGATTTGCCCAAAGCCAAATACCAGTGGCTACACCTCCGATTTCAGGACTATAAAAGTGTTGTTGAATATAATTCTGCTATGTTCAGAATAATTTCCAAAATGGTGCTATGTGGAGAAAATGTGAGCGATTATGATATGATTGAAAAAACGCTCTCCACATTTCACCCTGGAAATATAGTCCTGCAACAACAATATCGGGCAAATGGCTATACTCGTTATTCAAAATTAATGGAAGTTCTCCTTGTTGCAGAACAGAATAACGAGCTTGTGATGATGAACCATCAGACTCGTCCCACTGGAGCTGCTCCATTCCCAGAAGCGAATGTAGCATCGTCCAGCCAAAATAATGGACGAGGACGTGGACGTGGATACGGTCGAAACCGAGGTCGTGGCCGTGGCCGTGGACGTGGTCGGGGACAAGGAAAAGAGTACCGTCCCGACGAGTCCAACAATGAAAGGAATATAAAAGGTCTCGAGCAAATGATTACGGCCGAGATTCTAAAAAGCAAAAAGAAAGTGTTTGCTACAGATGCGGCATGAAAAATCACTGGGAGCGTACTTGTCGTACACCCAGACACTTAGCCGATCTATACCGGGAATCACAAAAAGCAAAGGAGAAAGAAAGTGAGACTAACTTCATCTCCAGTGAACCCGGCCTTCCTTTCATGGCCTAAACGATGATACTCATCTTGATGTTTCAGATTTTCTGGTTGACTCTGAAGAGATCAACGGAAAAACAGACGACTAAAAGGACATGATATACATAGTTGTCTTCCTGAAGAAGATAACCTAAAAGCTTGATCTTTTTGTTGTAAAATAGTTTTTAATGTGTTATTTTGTATCTTGTGATATAAGCTTTGTATTGTTTAATACTTATTAATGCATCTTTGTTAAATCCAGAAATGACGCAATTTGAGACTCGTGATGGAGATATGTGTCTTGCAGACAGTGCTACAACGCACACAATACTCAAAGATAAAAGATATTTCTCCGGTCTCAAAATTAAAGATTCCGTTGAAAGCGTGAATACCATTTCTGGTGGTGCAAAAATAATATTGGGCTCTGGAAGAGCCAGTTTTTCAATGCCAAGGGGAACAAAGTTTGAAATAAGTGATGCATTATATTCCCCGAAGTCTTACAGAAACTTATTAAGTTTCAAGGATATCCGTAAAAATGGTATCACATAGAGACTATAAATAAGAATGGCATTGAAATCCTTTGCATCAAATCGGAGGGACAAATATTGGAAGAATTGAAAATGTTGTCCTCCGGATTATATTGCACAAATATTACTCTGACTGAATCATATGTTACAGTAAACCCGAAGTTTACTAGTACATTCAAAATCTGGCATGAAAGGCTAGGGCATCCAGGTTCAGTCATGATGAGAAAAATTGTGCAAAACTCAAATGGCCATCCGTTGAAATACGGGAAAATCTTAGAAACGGGCGAGTTCATATGTAATGCATGTTCTCAAGGAAAACTCATAACTCGGCCATCACCAGCAAAAGTTGGGAATGAATCCCCTGTGTTCTTAGAGAGAATACACGGTGATATATGTGGGCCTATTCACCCACCATGCGGACCGTTTCAATACTTTATGGTATTAATTGACGCATCAAGTAGATGGTCACATGTGTGTCTTTTGACAACACGAAATACGGCTTTCGCAAGATTCATTGCCCAAATAATCAGGTTGAGAGCACAAAAGATAAAAATCCCCGAAAGAAAAAGAATTTGGGAGAGAAGGTTCAAGAAGAACCTAGTAAAGAAATATGTCCTGAAGACATAAACAAACTGGTTTTTGAAGAACCAGAGAAAGAGATTCGTCCAGAAGACGAACATGATACAGAAAAATTTGAGATCTCCATCAACTTCGCCCAAAATGGAAAAGTATGGACAAGAAATGAAATAGAAGATGATGATGGAATATTCTCTTTTTCTGTATACAAAGAATTGATCATGAAAGTGATGATCCAGATCCAGAAACAATATCAGAGTGTCTCAAAAGACCTGATTGGGAGAAATGGAAAATGGCCATCCAAGCTGAATTACTCTCCCTCAATAAAAGAAGTGTTTTTGGACCTATTGTCACAACTCCTGAGAATACAAAACCCGTCGGGCACAAATGGGTTTTTGTAAGAAAAAGAAATGAGAAAAATGAGGTCACAAGATATAAAGCCCGACTTGTGGCTCAAGGTTTTTCTCAAAGACCGGGAATTGATTATGAAGAAACATATTCCCCGGTAATGGATGCCATAACATTCAGATTTTTGATGAGCTTAGCAGCGTCTCAAAATCTTGAAATGTATCTCATGGATGTTGTGACAGCATATCTATATGGATCTCTTGAAAATGAGATATATATGAAAATCCCAGAAGGATTAAAAATGCCTGAGGATTTGAAATCAAAGGCTAAGGAGATCTGTTCGGTCAGATTACAGCGATCACTTTATGGACTAAAACAGTCCGGACGCATGTGGTATAATCGCTTAAGTGAATATTTGTTGAGTAAAGATTACGTCAACAATGCGATATGCCCTTGCGTATTCATTAAGAAATCCTCTTCAGGATTTGTGATTATTGCTGTATATGTAGATGACCTGAACATGATTGGAACTCAAAAGGAAATTGATGATGCAAGAACTCATATGAAAGAAGAGTTTGAAATGAAAGATCTTGGAAAGACAAAGTTTTGTCTTGGGCTCCAGATAGAGCATTTCCAAGATGGTATATTTGTGCATCAGTCAAATTACACTAAAAGAGTGTTAAAACGCTTTTATATGGACAAAGCAACTCCTTTGAGTACTCCAATGGTTAATAGATCTCTTGATGTTGAAAAGGATCCATTCCGTCCTTGTGAGGATAACGAGGAAGTGTTAGGTCCTGAAGTACCTTACATGAGCGCTATTGGTGGACTAATGTATCTTGCAAATTGCACTAGACCAGATATAGCATTCGCTACTAATCTGCTTGCAAGATATAGTTCGTCCCCTACGCGCAGACATTGGAATGGAATAAAACATATTTTTCGTTATCTTCAAGGATCAATTGATTTAGGATTATTTTATCCTAAAAACTCAAAATGTGTTTTAGTTGGTTTTGCTGATGCAGGATATCTATCAGATCCACACAAAGCTAGATCACAAACAGGTTATGTTTTCACAATTGGTGGAACCGCGGTCTCCTGGCGTTCGCAAAAGCAAACTTTGGTTGCAACGTCTTCAAATTATGCAGAAACTATTGCTCTCCATGAAGCATGTAGAGAGTGTGTGTGGCTCCGGTCTATGACTCATCACATACAAGAATCAAGTGGAATAGTCACAGAGAAAGAGCCAACAAAAATATTTGAAGACAATTCTGCATGTGTCACACAACTCAAAGAAGGTTATATCAAGAGTGACAGAACGAAGCATATTCCTCCAAGATTTTTCTCATACACTCAAGAACTCCAGAAAAATCAAGAAGTGGACATCGAGTATATTCGTTCAAGTGACAATGCAGCCGATCTTTTTACAAAGGCGCTTCCTACTACAGTGTTCAAGAAGCATGTTCACAGTATCGGAATGCGTCGTCTACAAAACTTGTGAAAAGAAAAGATTCTATCTTTTCCAGGGGGAGATTATGCTACGGTACTCTTTTTCCTAAGTCATAGTTTTTATCCCATTGGGTTTTTCTATGACATAGGTTTTTTAACGAGACCGTACATAATACATCGGCGGATAATTAAGGGGGAGTGTTAAAAGGATAATTATCCTATCATATTTTAATATTTACTTATTTATAAGTTTTCTCACCGTCTTCTTAGCCGACTTACTCTCATCTTTTACCCTATAAATAGAGGTCATGTAATGATGTTACATGTACAATACGAACAAGTTCAATACAGAAAACATTCACTCTTCTTCTCTCCACGTATAAACCTACCTCTCCATCCTCCTTCTCCAATAATAAGAAACCTATCTCATCTCCCTCTCTCACATACGTAACTCTCTCTCTCTCTCTATCACACTTTCTTCTTCTACTTTATTAGTTAATTTTAATCATCCACTATATCAAATATAGTGGTACAGTTTTAGCTTATTTATAACACCCACTACAAAAACAATATTTTGAGAAAAGGTAGAAAACTTATTTAGTTTGGGGATCGAACCAAGATCCCTGAGGTCATCTAGCAACACATGAACCACTAGGCCACAGTCAAATAATCCAAAATCAGCCCCCCTAAAATATTCACAAAATATTTTTAAGGGCTGCCTTGTAACTGAAGATGTACGTTTCTGGTCACAAAATTATTCACAGAAGTTCATCCGGATTAACAAAACTGGAAAAGCTTAAAGAATAGAAATCCAATCACAATTGATCATCATTAGAAGAAAGGAAATTGCAAAGAAGGTTGTAGGCTTCCTTAACCGAAAAGAAAATTGAAAAAGAGTAAGTTGAATTTAGAAAGGACAAGTTGTATCTTAAGCTTTGCATCTAGTGTATAAATAGATGAAAATAGGGCTTGATGGAAACTTATGCATTGTAGTGCTCTAAGTTTCTAAGAGAGAAAAGGATCTTTGGGTTTTCTTGTAGGGTAATCGATTAAATTTCTATTCTCCTAAAAAAAATCTCTAGTGTTATTACGTTTTATGTAGCCACCATGAAAACTCAGAAGAAAGATGACAACATAGAACCGCTACCTCTAGATATGGTTGTCGTGATACACACGCAACTGCCGGAGAAATCTCGATCTTTTCAAATTTAGATGCGTCTCGAAACAATGGTGTATCATCATACGTAGCCCATCATTCATCAATTCGTTCATGTCTGTCTCTATGTCTCGGCCACCACGTATCCTCCTTGGCTATGGTATTGAGAGGCGACTGATATTTTTCTCTCTGCCTCTTCATCCTCAAGATATTTCAAAGCATTCATCACTAGTAACCAAATACCATGTGCCATTCAGCAATAACAACACTAGCTTATGCAATTCTGTCCGTGGCATCTTCTGTTTTTCTTATGATTTTGATCATTTTGATCCAACAACGAAACAAGCCATAGCCATACCTAATGACCTAACCGAGTTTGATCCTAATAATTGTTTGTGTTTTAATGGCTTGGGAAACGACACAAGCTGTAACGCCTCCGCCGCCTTTCCGGTGAGTCACCCACGCCCTTTTTGGGTTTGTGGGCCCCACCCTTGTCCGACGGTCGGTGCATTATTTTTGGGAGGTTCGGAGAATGTATTTACTATCCTTGCAATCATCATCCGACCTTTTCCCGTATTTTTTCCTAACTCACACGGTTTCACAGAGGACTTCCCGAAAGGTTACCCATCCTTTCACTACTCCAGCCCAAGCAAACTTACCTCTGGAATTCTTATTGGCCTTAACCGAAAAGGTAAATGCACTTTGATGATATAGGTAGCCAAATCAATTTTTTTAACCTCTTCTCATTTATTACAAACCGGGATGTTACAAGCAATGATCAGTACATTTATTACAAACCGGGATGTTACAAGCAATGATCAGTACAAGATTATTCGCACGATAAACTGTTTGCGTAAAACCAGAGTTCCCGAACATAGTGTATGTACGTTGAGACTAGGTGAAGCATCTTCTTTTTCATCATGGAGGTGCGACGATCGAGAAGCACCAAATAGCAGTGGGCGTTGAGCTGGTGTGGGTCAAATATATACCCATATTCGGTTCCGGATCGGGTTCAATCTCGACTACAGAGGAAGAACCTTTTCTTTCTTAAAAAGATCCGTCTATCGTAATTTATTTATTTCAACTAGTTACAAATTGCCTAAGATTAATATACAGTAAGCTCTATAAATTAAATTTACTTGACAGGTCATAAACGTAGGAGATATGGATATTAAGGAGGCCGCAAACATGCATAAATATTTAAAACAAATAAAACCATCACTTTGTCCCAAACAGGCCAACAATAAAAATGGAGCTCAAACTACAATCCTAATCTAATTTGATTTTTAAAAACAGTGAAAACGTATTTTGTTTAATTTGATCTAATCTAATACTTTAAACTCCAAAACGTCAAAACTCCAACTCTTGTTTTTGCTATTTTAATTAGCCCTGGACAACAAAGTTTAATTAATAAGAGCGAGAATTAATTAATCAACGGGTTTAAAGTATTCAAGAACCCTGGAATCGAGCCAATCCTGTTCGTAGACCTCTGCTTCGTAGGTCCTCCTACCTCCATCGTCTTCGTCACTAACATGGAGCACTAGCCGGAAATTAATGCCTTGGACATATTGTAAGTCGCCCGAAACAACAGTCTGAAACTTGAGTTTCGTGTTGTTTTGTTTGTTGAACTGGGAGACGGCGAACTTGGCGATGACATCAACTTTAGAGTCCTTAATGTCTTTGATGCGTTCCCAACCACCACATGGAGTTTCCGCCTCATCTTTCATATTTTCTTTAGTTTTTTATTTGTTTTGTGTTTTTGGATTTCTCGTTGTCTATGTATATTTATAACAAGAGTTGTCAAAGAGGCATACCCTAGTTGATATTCGAAAAAGTCGGACGGTTACAACAATATATAGCTTTCCTAATCCCCCCTAAAGAATGGAAATTAAATCATAGTTATCCCTTGATTTTTCAAAGTTACAATTCCTTATTTTTTACTATGGGATATCTCAAAAGTCAAAACAATTTTGTTTGCCACGTGGGGTTGACTTTAGATTTGTACTACGCATGAGCATTATGGCTGGGTATACACGGTCGGGTAGTTTGGGTATCAAAATTTACTATCCAATAAAAGTCGGCTAATACGACTATACGAGTTATTAGGTAGGATGAGAGTAGGGTTAGATATACAGTAATGTGCTGTGGTGATGTTATTCTTATTCAAGTGAAAATTTGGACGTATAGGATATCCAGAATGTACGCTACAATCAAAGATAAGTCAAAGGATCCAGCTCCCATCTCCTTATATATTTGTCTTTGTCCTGCATGTGGTGATGATCTTGTCGCCGGTCAAAGAAACTGAAAGCTGTCGATGATCAATGGAGCCGTGTCATAGAAGAGATTCTAGATGGCACTCCAGCATCATCAAGTAGTGTTGATTGGCTTCTTCAGGAAGGAACTTGTAACATCCCGATTTGCAATAAATGAGGAGAGGAATAAGAGAATTAATTTGGTTACCTATGTCATCAAAGTGCACTTACCTTTTCGGTCAAAGGTCCATAAAGAACTCCAGAGTTAAGCGTGCTTGGGCTGGAGTAATGGAAGGATGGGTGACCTTTCGGGAAGTCCTCTGCGAAACCGTGTGAGTTAGGAAAAAACACGGGAAAAGGTCGGGTGATGATTGCAGAGATAGTAAATACATTCTCGGAGCCTCCCAAAAATAACGCACCGACCGTCGGACAGGGGTGGGCCCATGGGCCGAGAAAGGACGTGGGTGACTCACCGGGAGGGGCGGCGGGGGTGTTACAGAACTGCTTAAAGAACAAGCTAGATTGGTGGCTGTCTTCAAGAGTTATGTTACAACACATACAATACTCAAAGATAGCAAGTATTTTTCATGTCTCAAAATGAAAAACTCCGTTAAAAGCGTGAGTATATGCGATAGTGCAAAGATAATATTTGGCTCTAGGAGCGCAAGCTTTTCATTGCCAAAGAGAACAAAATTTGAAGTGCGAGATGCACTCTCATCGGAACTTATTAAGTTTCCGAGATATCCACAAAAATGGATATCATATTGAGACTACAAATAAAAATGGCATTAAATATCTTTGCATTACAACGGAGAGGAAACAAACATTGGAAGAATTACCAATGATGTCCTCTAGATTATATTTTTAAACTGTAAAAACAAACGAAGAAAGACAAATAAATAGAATTTTCTAGTTCCCCTTGATCTCTCTTTCGTGTGCCATCTTACTTACTTCCTGTATAATAATAAAAATGAGTATAATTAAAATGAAGATTGAAAGAAGATCAGAGTTTGGAAGCAGGTTCTTACCTGAGTGACTGGCGATAGAACCACTCCACATCCCTGCTAGTGGAAACAGGTTCTCTGGACGGCTGATTGTCGAAATCCAGATCGGGGCTGTTTAGAGGAGCTGTTGCTTCCACTTGGCGGGGATTGACCACATAAACAAGGTTATAGTCATCCACAAAGCCTCTTCTGAAAAACCAGGGGCTACTGATGCAGTAGTAGATCACAAACTGGGACGGGGTTTTCTCTACAAAGAAATATATTACTAGAAACTTCTTTAAGATAACTTACAAGTATATGCTTAAACGAATTCAACAATCACGATCTATCCACGATCTCTGTTGTTCTAGTAACTCTCACGTTCTCAGATCTATCCACGATCTTTGAACCTCTCAAACCCTAGCCCCCATTGTCCTAGCTTTCTTACAAGAAATCTAAACCCAAATATGCTAAAGCTCTCAAGTTTGTGATAGCCGCTTACAAGCAGCCAAGGTCCTCTATTTATCCTCAATAGACAAACCGCCAAACCCTACAAGGTTTGTGTCTTGGTGATTACTCCAAATCTCCAAGGGAATATTTCCTTTCCTTATTTTTCTCTAAGAATAGAAATATTCTTTTGTCTTGATAGCCGCCTACAAGCAGCCAGAGCACCCTATCTATCCACAATAGGCGTGCCTAGAAACCCTACAAGGTTTCGGTCTTGATGATTGCTCCAAATCCCCAAGGGAATATTTCCTTTCCTTATTTTTCTCTAAGAATAGGAAATATTCCTTTTGTGTTGATATCTCCAACTCTCCTCATCCAGCTCAGCGACCGCCTCTTCTGGATTCGTCCTTATCCGCTACAAGCTCGCATCCAGCTCAGCAACATTCCTTTAGCTCCGTTAAGCTCCACTTAGCTCCGCTACAAGTCCGTCCATACGTCCTGATGCACTTCCTGACTGATTCACGATCTGCGTCAAACCAGTTGCATCTTCAATCTCCCCCTTTTTAGCTTTGTGTCTCTCAAGCACCTGTAAAACTCAAAACCACAGTGCATATACCAGAGATGACCAGAATACTGGGTGATCTGAATACTTCAACATTAGTCATAGAAATATTAAACATGATTCAGAACAAGAGTTAAATCCAAAAGATCAAAGAACTTTCAACTCTCAACTCCCCCAGAATTCTAGATCGAAAACTACTCAAAACAAGGCAAACAAGATCAAAAGTCTTGCTCCCCCACAATTCTAGCTTAGATCCTAGTTTTCGTTCTCTGATACATCATATTCTCCCCCTGCTTGTGAGCACACACAAGTTAAAAACACAAGATGGATAAACAGATTGAAATAGATTGTGCAGAAGGACAACTTACCTTGCAGATTGAACTATGTCAGTGAAACTCCGAAGGGACCTGTTTCCTGAAGAACTCTCTTGTTCCTTAGCACGAGAGAAACATCCGCATCACTCTGTTCTTCAACACTATGAGCATATCAAGTCTGATTAAGAGCGGATGACGAAACCTCTGGCTCTGTGTCAGATGGCGGATCAATCGATGGCTGCTTCTCGATTTGAGAAGACTACTTCGTTGTAGTTCGAAACGGTTGACCTAGTTGAAGTTCATCAAGAGACTCTGTTTCGCGAGCTTTGTCGAGAGGGTGAAACGGCTGGTTTGGATCTAACAGAGACATTGATGCGTCGTTCTATTGTACTCCGGCTCTGCTGGTTCAGAAACACCATCGGTGCTCACTACCAGAGATGTAGTGGTCGCTACTTCAGTCGCTTCGTCAGTCGACGGCAGTGCTTGGAGATTGCTGGCTTGTAGATATGACGGCTGTTTCAAAACACCATTTAATCGGAATCAACATAAATCAGCCGGATTAATTTGGTTTAGAGACCCAGAGCCCTGTTTGATTTCCTGCAACACTTAGCACCAATATCAGCAGTACAACACAAGGACCCAAAATTGTGACAACCACATAAGATTCGATTCAAGATAGAATCCAAACAAGCAATACCATCCCATGTGTCACATCTTTTCAGCTTAAAAACATTTTTACTCAGTTTATCTCAAATTAAATACCTTTCATTTTAGTGAAGGAGACATTGACTGAGTCGGCACTTGCATCAGGATGTATTACAAATTCTCAACAGATTCATAGCGCTTGGCCATCCTGATTCCAACCTGCAGCTTTCACTTTGTCATACCCAGATCATATCACCACCTCTAATTCCAATGATGTGCAAAGTGAAACTCTTTATTTTGTTCAAGGCAGAACATGTGATCATTCTCTGTCGTTGGATGTTGTTCTTGTGAAACATTACCCTTCGAGAAAGCTCATGGACCAACTTAGCCTTGTGAGCTATTGTTGTCAATCCATCCCCTTTCCAATTAAGCTCTTATTTCTATCGTCAGACTTTGTTCTTGTGAAACATTGTCTTTCGAGAAATCACATGAACCAACTTAGCCTTGTGAGCTATTGTTGTCAGTTCATCACATTTCCTGTTATGCTCATTGAATCACTTTTTGGTTCTTGAAGCAGCAAGCCATCTCCATCATATTGCATTCATTTGGAGTTGGCTCAGCTGCTTTTTGACCTTGAACATGCTTTTAGAATCACTTACTTTTCACTTTTCTTATGTTGAGGTGACATGACGGCATGACAAAGTAGCTGATCCTCATTGGCACCTTTGACTCCAAACAAAATCTGAACTTGTTATACACCCCGAGCCAGTGCCTGTGTCAGCCCCTGCATCATTCAAAACCACTTGTGCAAATTCCAATGGAATTTCTTAAGGTGACAAAACGGTTAAAGTCCAATGGTTTTGTGAATAAATCAGCGAGCTGTAAATCTGTGACAACATGTTCAAGTACTACCTGTTTTTCTTCCACCAATTCACGAACAAAGTGGTGTCTTATGTCAATGTGCTTAGTCCTTGAGTGCTGCACCGGATTCTTTGATATGTCAATGGCGCTTTTGTTGTCACAGTAGACCAAGAAGGGTCCAGACTCCATCCCATAATCGGCTGACATCTGTCTCATCCATATAAGCTGTGTGCAGCAGCTTCCCAATGCAATGTACTCAGCCTCTGCAGTAGATAGTGACACAGAATTCTGCTTCTTGCTAAGCCAAGCAATAAGATTGTTCCCAAGGAAGAAACAACCTCCACTTGTACTTTTCCGATCATCTGCACATCCTGCCCAATCGGCGTCACAATATCCAGCAAGATTTCTGTTGGATCCTTTAGAGTAGAAGATCCCCAGATTGACAGTTCCCTTGACATACCTCAAGATCTTCTTCACTGCTTGAAGATGGGACTGTTTTGGTTTGGCCTGATAACGAGCACACACACCGACGCTGAAGCATAAGTCAGGCCGACTTGCTGTAAGGTAAAGCAAGCTTCCAATCATTCCTCTGTGGCGATGTGATGCTCTAGCATTACTGACTTTCTTAGCCTCATATCCTAATCCCATGGTTGTCTTTCCTCGATTTCCACTCCTTAGGATGGGATCAGGTTTCTGTACGGATGATCTAGTCTCTGCTTGAACAACATCTTGAGCTATTCCTCCAGACACGAAAGTGACTGTCTTGCCGGTTGATCCACTTCCTGTTGAGTATCCCAGACCAAGATTTGACTTCCCAACACGACCAAGACTCAGGATCTTGTCGAGTTCCTTAGTTCCAGTCAACATCTTCAGTTGCTTTCGATGTTGATCTAACTCAGCTTGTAGACTCCTAGAGTTCTCCTTCTCCAAAAAGTACTCTTTGGTGATGTCATCTGCTCGTTTAACCGCTTCCATCTTTTCCAACATGATGTTGAGATTATCCATGTTGAGATCTTTTTCCGCTTGAAGTGCCTTCTGAAGTTCTCCAACCTTTTCTTCAAGACGAGCATTCTCCTTTTTCAATTTGAGATTCTCTTTCCCGGTTTCTACCAAAGCATCACGAACTTCTTTAAAGCTTTCATGGATATCAATCTCAGATTCTTCATCACTGGAGGAGTCATCGGTATCTGATTCAGATGCTTTTCTTTCTTCCACAAAATCAGAAATTCCGGCAAGGGCTATGAAGTTACTGATTTCTTCATACCCATAGTTTCCTGCATCAAGTATCACTTTTGACCTTCCCATGAAATCCGGGTGATAGTCCTCTATTCCGCAAGATCTCACCTGCTATAGCAATACACGCAAGGTGACTGCTCTGATACCAATTGAAAAACCAGGGGCTACTGATGCAGTAGTAGATCACAAACTGGGACGGGGTTTTCTCTACAAAGAAATATATTACTAGAAACTTCTTTAAGATAACTTACAAGTATATGCTTAAACGAATTCAACAATCACGATCTATCCACGATCTCTGTTGTTCTAGTAACTCTCACGTTCTCAGATCTATCCACGATCTTTGAACCTCTCAAACCCTAGCCCCCATTGTCCTAGCTTTCTTACAAGAAATCTAAACCCAAATATGCTAAAGCTCTCAAGTTTGTGATAGCCGCTTACAAGCAGCCAAGGTCCTCTATTTATCCTCAATAGACGAACCGCCAAACCCTACAAGGTTTGTGTCTTGGTGATTACTCCAAATCTCCAAGGGAATATTTCCTTTCCTTATTTTTCTCTAAGAATAGGAAATATTCCTTTTGTCTTGATAGCCGCCTACAAGCAGCCAGAGCACCCTATCTATCCACAATAGGCGTGCCTAGAAACCCTACAAGGTTTCGGTCTTGATGATTGCTCCAAATCCCCAAGGGAATATTTCCTTTCCTTATTTTTCTCTAAGAATAGGAAATATTCCTTTTGTGTTGATATCTCCAACTCTCCTCATCCAGCTCAGCGACCGCCTCTTCTGGATTCGTCCTTAACCGCTACAAGCTTGCATCAATCCTTTAGCTCCGTTAAGCTCCGCTTAGCTCCGCTACATTTTCGTCCATGCGTCCTGATGCACTTCCTGACTGATTCACGATCTGCGTCAAACCAGTTGCATCTTCATCTTCTACATCAACCAAGTAAGTGAGAATCTGTTGTGCCTCATCCGTCGGAATCCCATCCACAAGCTCACGGAGGCTGACAATCTCCAGCTCGCTTGCATATATCCACTTCCAGACAACAGCGACGGCAGCAAGGAAAGGATCTTCACCATCCTCTTCACCACCCTCACCTCCATCACCCTCAACCTTCTCAGCATTACCCTCACCTACGTCTCCGTCGCCCTCATCAACCTCCTCATGTTTTTACCTAAGCGACTGGCTATAGAACCATTGAGCGTTTTTGGAAGAAAAAAAATGACTTACTCTTCTAGTATGCCAAATTAACAGAACGATAGTTGAAAAATTAAGCAACAAAAAAATTTCAACAGTCTCGGTCTTTCTTATCAATAACGTATTGTACAATAGTTACACATTTGTGGGACTAATGGAGGGAAAAAAAGTAAGACTAAATTAATACGGTCTAATGGAGTATCTAACAAAAATAAATAAAAAATAAACAAGATTGTAGCTGTTTGATTAGTATACAAAAATTACTCTAAACCATGTGTAATATTCTAATCATAATATCATCACTTTTGAAAAACAGAAACTAATAAATAAGCACTCCATTTTACCTATGTTCAAAATACATAATATCCTCACCGATGATATTTGATATTTCTAATCATAATATCCTCACTAATCATATTTCTAATCATGATATCCACAGTAATCATTTGTTCACAAATAAACAGATGCTGTATATCGTTTGCTCACATAAGCCCATTAGGAGGCCCAATATTAAAGTCCCGCTTCTCGGCCTGCATTTTTCCCGCGCTTTCTCGACGACCTTTTTGTTTAGCGCGCTCTCTGTGCTTGAAGGTTCTTAGAGACGAGGAACGAAAAGAGTGAACGGAGAAGAAGAAGAAAGCTTAGAATGGAGGTGATACGGTCTCAGAAGCGAACAGCCTCAAACGACGCCGCTTCAATTCCCACGCTTCCGTTGTATTTTACAGCTCCACCGATGGAAGTCCGATTAGAAGAGTTCGAGCTCTTCGCAATCGATCGCCTACGAGGTTTCTATCGAAATTCAAATTTCAAAATTGGTTGCTTTCGAATCGAATTCGAGAAGATTCTGATCGGATTTTGTGAACAATTTGTCGATTGATAGTTCTGAAAGGGGTCTCAGATGGATTGGCCCGTGGGAAAAACCCTAAGGAAATGGATGATCTGGTAAAATTCGATGTTGCTAGTGAGAATTTTCCTGATTTTTTAATTTCATTTCTCATTTGTTCTTTGTTTTGATTTTGGATTGTAGGTGTCTACTTTGTGGAAAGAACATATGAGACATTCGGATGTATCTGAAATGTTGAACAAGGATATAATCTCACATTTCGTTCTACGTCTCGTTTATTGTAGATCGTAAGCTCTCTTTGCCCTCATGTTCGACTTTGTTTATCTTTGGATTTTGCTTTCGTTGATTGTTTCTGGATTTTGCTTGAAAAGGGATGAATTGAAGAAATGGTTTCTCAGCATGGAAACTGCTCTTTTCCGTCATAGATTCCGGCTACAAAACTTTGAAGCTCAGGTACTTCTTCTGCTTTCGAACTTTTCGATGCCTGAAATGTAGATTGGCAGGTAAAGTTTTGCATTTTTGTGTGTGTGTTCATAGAGAGCAACCGTGGGAGAGTTTGGACTACAGTATAAGGCAGTCACAGGGGCAGAACTTGAGGCAAGTGTTAGTTTCAGAGCTCTGGAAATTCCAGGATTTGTGTGGTTACTTAGAATCTAAGTAGCTGATCTTTGACCATTTGCAGAGTTTGAAGGAGAAGTTGGGGCAAGTAGTACGTTCACTGGGTCAAATTTCACCTACTAGTAATGATCATATCTCAAATCCCTTTTCTGTCTTTTTAACTCTGGCGTTTGTCCATGTCCTGCATGTGGTGATGTTAGTCTTTAGTATTAGTATAGCACTGGAGAGGCTAGTCAAAAGATGATTTGTTTATGTATTTCGATATGATTTTAACTTCATCTATGAGCTTTTAGCAATAAGACTTGTACCTGTTCTAATGGAAAGTTTCTTCTTCTTTCTTATCCTTTTGTGCAGTTGAAACCATATACTATAAGGTATCTCTGCCTCTTTGTTTTGTAATTGTTCATATACTACAAGCTACAAATGCACTTATCTGATCAGTTTGATCATGTGCACCTGAAACAAAAAGGTGCCTTTTGAAGAGGTTCCTGATCTTGTAGCTGGCCGGAGAGTATTTATACAGAAAGGGAATGCCTTTGTTGCTGGCAGTCAGGTAAGTCTTGGTTTCCATTTTCAAATTCGAATCATAACTTCCCCACAGTAGATTTGTCTCCTTGGATAACTCGGATTTCCTTTATTTCTCCAAGCAGTTGGTTTCTCTTGTTGTCACACAATTTCGATCTCATATATCAAAAGCCCTCATCCTGACAAACAGGTTATGTGAAATTTTAAAAGCTTCCTCTTATCTGTTACACAAGAGTTACAGAAGCTTGGAACCCTGCATGGTGTTTATTAACAAGATTTTTCTTTGTGTTTGCAGAAAATGGACAACTACTATTCGAGAACGAGAAAAAGACAGACTAACTCCAGTAAGTATGGGACTGAAATCAACTGCTTTATTTTCTGTCCCATGTTTCTTGAACTTGTTATTGTTGTTATCATTCAGATAGTAGAAGGGTTATCTTCAAGCTACTTGGGTCCAGATTATTCTCAGGTGAGGATTATCGTCCTTTGAAACTTCTAACATACATTTATAGATTTGGAGTCACTGAAGTTGTTAATATGCCTCCACAGTCAAATGAGTACGCTGACATATCACTTAAGGATATTGATCAAGTTGCCAAGAGTTCCTTCCCCCTTTGTATGAGGCATCTATTTGAAAAAGTAAGCTGCTTCATGGCTTTCAGATCTGTCTATTCTTAAATACTTACATATCCTGCTCCCATGCAACTCTAACATGTGAACGTTTACACACAGCTTCGAGAAGATCACCATCTAAAACATGGAGGAAGAATGCAACTGGGTCTTTTCTTGAAGGTTTCCCTTTAATCTCTCTATCTCCTGTTAAGCTTAGTTGCATCTGAGTACGGCATGATGCAGATAGATTCACATCTAGAGTTGAGGCTAGACGTAATAACATTTCTGTTGGTCAAACATCGTAGTAAAAAGCACTTGTTATGGTTTGTCTTCTATTTATACCTCTCTGAAATTGTCTACGCGCATGTAGGGTGTGGGTTTGAAGCTCGAAGACGCCCTAGCATTTTGGAGAGCAGAATTCACTAAAAAGGTAACTTGATTCACAAATGTTTAATCTGTTTACTTTTCAAATATGATTTGTGTCTCTCCTAGAGGTTTATTGATCTTAGTTTAGACCAACTCTCTCTAAAGAAGCTATCCCTTTGACCATGTTTTTGTGTGCGTAGCAAATTTGAAATAGGAGAAGTGAGTAGACTTTTGTCTGCAGAAACTAAGTAGTACTGAGCTACTAGATACTCATTTCTTGATTCCTTCTTTATTCTTAGGTTGGCTCTGAGAAATTTGATAAAGAGTATGCATATTCCATTCGCCATAACTATGGAAAGGAAGGCAAGAGAACGGTACGATGCTAACAGTTTCATATCTCTTCTTTAATGTCAACGAATACGGCAGTGGCCAGTTTCATCAACTAACGTTCTGATACCAAATTCACATTGCAATTACAGGATTATACCCCTTATGCTTGTCAAAAGATAATCTCATCTGCTCCTGGTGTTGGGGATCATCATGGCTGTCCTTATCGACATTTCAGGTCAGTTTGCTTTAGGAAAAGTGAAAAATCTCTCTTTCTGTGGAAGCAAAGTGATGAATCTCATGGTTTTGTGGGAATATAACAGTGATGATAACCTGAGAGCAGCACTTGGTAGAATGGGACTGAGTTCTCGTGGAATGGAAGACGTAATGGATAAAGTGCGGAACAAACATTATCAGGTGGTTAAATCTTAAGTTATTATCACTAGACCTTTTGATTATTGGCTTCGATTTTTAGCAAAACTAAAGGGGTATTGTACTTATGCATGTATGTGAACCACTTCACAAAACTAAAGCTTGCATGCACAATGACCTTTGAAGCTGTTTATGGTACAACGTGTGACGCTGGTATCAACCATCCGAACCAATACTTCGAGGAGAGTCAGAAGATTTTGAAACCCAAGACGCCAACTGCTCCGGTCTAATCTTTTGTGTATGGTTCAATGTATTTAAATTATGAATCCGTGACATGAAAATTGAAATATGAAGTTGATGCGGGATCTGTTTGATGATATTTACCATGTTATAAGAAGATGAAGCATATTTTGCATCTTGATTCTTCTCTAATCGTTTTCTTGGGGATCGGATTTGGGATCTAAATCCTAAAACTCTTTATCTGATGTCAAAATTAACTTTCATACAAAAAAAACACATTTTTGCATGCAATTAGCAAAGAGAGAAAAACTATAAGGACAATTGTTAAAAGCAATTGAAAGGTACATGTGATTAATGTTTCAATGATGAGAGTTCTTACTGTTTTTCTTTTGTTTACTTCCCTGTAGCTTGCGCCCACTATCGTACAAATAATAGCCAAATAAGACGATGACAAGAATGAATAAACCTATACGGTAGGTTATAGTCAAACAAGAACTATTGAAGAGGACAAGGTTAATAATAATACTAATAAGTAATAACAGTACTAAATTGGGAATGATTTTGTTTATACATGTTAGTATTTCAGTCCAAATCTATTTATATGTAAGACAATGTACGAGAGAGATGAGCTTATTTAATGTTTGAAAATGTTGGTGAGACATACTTTCAAGTCCTCTCTTCGATGAGGATGCGTATTATTTATTATTTAGTTGCACCATGTTCTTTTTTAGACTTCAAACATTTGCCATTTTTATATTTGGATTTCGTTATTTAGACGTATAAACATGAAATAAAACAATTTGGGTTTAGCAAGGTCAAGGTGTATATGTATCACATTGGATCGTTGATAATGTAAGTTAAACTCTCAATCTATTCCATGAAGTTTGTCATGATTGAGATACATCTGCCGACTTTTGTTTTTCTTTATCAAACACGAGGAAGATTAGAAGAAGTCCATGGAGAATGATTATTATGTTTCCGAAATCAAAAGTCGGCAGATGATAGATACACCACAGAACCAAATAGTCCAAAAGAGAAAAACACAGAATGCAAAACCAAATTACTAAAACAAAACTAAACAAAGCTACTAACCAAATTTGTTCTATTAACTACAGTAAAACCTCTATACAATAATGTTGGGACTTTGAAATTTTATTACCTTATAGAGTTATTATTTTATCGATAAAACAATAATTATTATTTTATAGAAATATTCTATCAAAACAAGAAACTTTATAAAAATATATTTTTTTTCAGTTTTTTTATTCAAATTTTCCTTATACTTTGTTATTTACATGTTTTATACTCAAAAGTTCAAAGTCTAGAAGAAATTATGTCTACTGTTCTTAATGGTAACGTTGAAGTTGAAGATGATGAGGAAAGACATGTGCAAGTAGTTACACGTAAGGAAGCAATTGTGGCTTCAAGAACTCTTCACAATTTTTGGCTGCATGTTGAGAATACACTACCAGAAATTGTAGATGCAATAAGAAAAATTCGAGATGAGCTCCAACAGAAATCCAACTTACATTGGAGTAATATTTTACTAATTTTTTTTAGATATATATGCCTTAGTATTATAATTATTATCTTAATTTATTATTGGGACTATATTTTTATATGGGAGTTTCAAAAATATTATTATCTTATCATCTTATCGTATTATGCTATTTTTTACATTGACCCGAGTTGAAACCGGAGAATATTATTATTTTATAATGTTTATTATTTTATCGAATATTGTTTTAGAAAGATTCTACTGTAGTAATAAATCGTGAATCCCAATATGGAATTGAAAATAGAGAAAACAAACTAACTCTTTACTTTTGATGATGAGCTTGAGAATCGGAACACGATTTTCTTATTATACTTTCCTTACCACCAATTAGGTGTAGTCACTAGAAAGTGAAACCGCGGGGATTGCATGTCATAAGCGAATAAATTTTATAAAATTATGATTATACAGAGCGTGAGATTTAATGACTTTCATAAGCGAATAAAAAAAAGATACTTTATAATATAAATATAACTGTCCTTATCTTATAAAGTTGGATGCGCGCGACGTGGTTGTGACACATAGGATTTTTATAAAATATAGAATTGCGACATGTTCACTTTTAATGTTATATCCGTTAAGATTATGACACATGTCTTCGGAAAAAAGAGAATTTTTATTTTATTGGAATTTTTTTAATATCTTATAATAAAAACGAAATTTTATATAATAAAATGAAAATAATGTAATAAAAAAATCCTATTAGTATATGGAATAGGTATGTAAACTAAACTAGTAGAGTACCCGCACGTTTGTGCGGTGTGACGTTGTTGTTTTGTGTAGAAAATTTAAACCCTAAATCCGAACCCGACAAAAAACCCTAATCAAAAAATTTAAAAACCCAAACTTTTTTAATAGGTCTAAACATGAAAATCCGAAATCAAAAAAATCCCGAAAACCCTGACTGAACAAAAAAAATCTGGAAACTTTTTCACCCGGAACCCGACCCCAATACCTAATCAAAATTTTAAAATACTCAATTTTTTTAATATATCTAAACCCGAAAACCAGAAATCTAAAAAATCCGGAAAACCCTAAACTGAAAAAAAAATTGAACCTAACCCGAACAGAAATTTTCAAAGAAACCCGAACAATTTCTATATCTCTATATATATCTCTATAAAATTATGTCTCAGATTTTCACCCAAACCCGAACTTGTCTATAAAAACCCGAAAATCCAAAAAGCATATTCTATTGATTTGGAATTATCGTTAGATTATGTTAAGTTTTTTTTTTGCAGATTTTTAAGAGATGGAAAACGGAAGTTTTCTAAACCATCGGTTTATTTTAAGTTATTATTCTTGTATCCAAACAATTTTTTCCATTTATTCTTCTATCCAAATAGATTTTTCTCTTATTCTTATATCCAAACAACTTTTGTTTCCATTTATTCTTCTATCCAAATAGATGTTTCTCTAATTCTTGTATCCAAACATTAGAATGTACTTCTCAATTAATAATATAAAGATAGCCTAAAATTGTGTGTAATAGATTATATAAACTTCTGTTTAAAAAAAATCATATTAGTACATTTAATAGGTATGTAAACTAAATATCCTAAAACTATATGAAATTGGTTACATGAACCCACTATAAAAAGAGAGCTATTGTAGTCTCTTTTTCTCATTCACAGACTCATCAAAGCAAATTCAGAAAATCTATTTGATTCTCTTTCTCTAATTTCAAAATCATGTCTTTCAAAGTTCAAAAGAACAGTGGAGATTATTTGACTCTAGGTCAATTGGATCGAAATTAAAATTATTTGAATAAAATCCTATTAGTACATTAGGAAAAATCAGAAAACAGGAAACAAACAATTAAAAAAAAAATATTACATCCATTATGAGAAGTAAAGAAAAAACATAATTATATTACGAAAAGAAAAAAAAACGAAAACCAGAAAAACATGAAGAAATAAGAGAAATTTTATGAAATACACCTCTTGAGGTGCAAATTTTCAAAACTACACCTATAATGTGGAAATTTTCAAAAATACACCTTTCCCCAATTTTAATATATATGTTTGGGTTCACAAATCCTATATTAGGGTTTAGATTTTGGGGTTTAGGGTTTAGATTTAAGGGTTCAATGTTAGATTTTAGGGTTTTGGATTTATATTTTAGGGTTTAGAGTTCTTTTACTAAATGAAAAATGTGTAGTTTTGAAAATTGGCACCATAGAGGTGTATTTTTGAAAATTTGCACCTCAAGAGGTGTAGTTTTGAAATTTCCCCAAATAATAATTAAAAAATGTTACATCCAATAAGAAAAGGAATAAAAATAGATATTCCCATTACGAAAAAAAAAAAAACAATATATAACAAGCTATATTTTTTAAGTTTCTTTCTCATTAAGAAATAAAATTCATGTCTTTAAAAGTTAAAGATATCAATGAAGAATACTTAACTTTAGATCGATACATGTGTCTAATATTTGATGAAGTGATGACATGTGACAACACAAGAAAATTGGAAAAATGTAGTAACATAAATAAATAAACTAACAAAATAATATTAAAACAACTAACTAATAATGAAAATGAAAATTTATAATGGTAAGAGGCAAAAACGAAATTGAAAAAGAAACAATATAAATAGAAAACTAACAAAATAATTATTAAGGAACTAAATAATATTAAAAAAAAGAAATTTTATAATGGACTGATCTTCTAATATTAAATAGTTTAATTTTCCATATTTTGTTAGGTAAAAAAATATTAAAAATAAATATTTCATCATGGAATAATCAAAGTTTCATAAAATAATGAGTCAATTAGATTTAACACATGTAAATCTTTCTATTTCATATCATGAATTCAAAATAAAAATGTAAAAGTCTACATATCTTTATTTAGAGATTTGTTATCGGGTTTTAATATTATTTTCTTATTTTTAAAATTGATCAAATTTTGTTTAATATTCTTCCGTGATTTAAAAAAAATAAAAATAAATAAACCCGCGTATACGCGAGACCTAATCTAGTATTATATAAAGTTGAATGTGCGTGATGTAGTTAATAAAGTTGCAGAGCTGGCCCTGAGCCCAAACAAAATAAGTTTGGGCTTGCGGCCCATAATTTTGCAGAAAAAATCTTATATAGATCTCAGCCCTTTATTTTGTAAAAAGTGTCATTAGAAGGAATTGCTAAAGCTGGTTTCACTTAGTTTAGAGGTGGTGACTTCGATTCTCCCCCTCCCCTATTAAAAAACGGCCCATTTATTTTTCCTAGCTTACAGTCTCCAGATTCTGAGGGACGGTTCTGTGTAGTTGTAACACATATGATTTTTTTTAACTCGAAAGATCACAACATATGTTTTTTTTTTTTAATTTTTGTAAGTTTCATATTTTTAAAAATGCATATTTACTATATTCTCTATCTTATCAAACCCAATATAATAAGCTATGTATAACCTTCAAATTTTAATATGATATATGTCGCCAATAATAAAAATCTGAAGTGTCAAGAGCTTGTTACGCATCCAATTTATATAATAAGATTTATTCTAATTTTCTCTTCACTTTTTTTTTCTTAATTTTCATTTTTTAAATATGGAAAACTATCATGAGAACCATTAAAAATGTTTTAAGTGTATTACATATTGCCCTAAACGAAAAATAAATAAAAAGCCATACTTTAAGGTTACCATCTTTCCAATGTTTTTAAAACCGAACCGGAGAACAAACCGGATAAGTGTCCGGGTGGCGGGTTAATCCAGTCCAACCGGTTCAACCGGGTTTATAACATTAATTGTAATTTTATTAGTATAACACATATATGGTATTAAATCTTTCATTATATGTGTATTCTATGTAGCTTTCAACGTAACTTCCCATTTTAAAGGTTTCTTATTGCATGTTTTACAATAAAAATATATTGTTTTAAAAGCACCCGTAATCAAAGCCCTAGAAGAATAACTTTTTCTACATCTTCTCCAAAACAGCCACAGCCCCGTCGTTCTTGTTTCTTATTCTCAATTTCCAGAATTTTTGTAATATATGTTTTCCTTATTTTTTGTTCTTTTCCTTCCATATATATCTCAAAATCGATTAAAGAAACTCAAGAAAAATGATATAGAAACAATTTAATACACCAAAAAAACTTCAAATTTTTGTGAACCGGGTTGTTGTGGTTCGACCGGTTCGGCCGGTTCACCGGTTTTGACCGGTTTTCAAACGAGTTATTTGGGTTTTCTAAAATCCGGTTTTATGTAGTTAACCAACCCGGATATGCGTCCGGTTCGCGGTCGGACCGGTTCGACCGGCCGGTCCGGTCCGGTTTTGAAATCACTGCATCTTTCTTAATTTTTGAGGCTGACATGTATCATTGGTAACAATAAGAAATTAAAAACACCTATATTAAATTAGAAAACAAAATACACACTATAATAAAATACTAACAATAAAATACAGATTGTAACATTTTTTAGTAAATTAATAAAATTTCCATTGGTATCTCTACAAAACATCTTGCTCATATTAAATTAAAAACATAAAAACACACACAAAAATTAGATAGGAATCAGCTAAAAAGTAAAATTTCTACAGTTACATTATAAGTTTTGAATGCTACATAACGAAGAACAAATTTACAACAAATATTTTGTAACCTAATTGAATCAACACTTTGTGCATAGCGTAAGGCTATCCCTAGTTAAATGTAGTAGACCCGAGATCGTTAATTCGTTATAGTTATAGACTTATAGATAATAGGGCGCCTTCTAATATTAAGTATTCTATAAATTTTCCGACACTCATTCAATACCATTATCATTTTATTTAAAATTGAAAAGTCATCGCTTAACACACATGATTATGATTATGCTCCAATTGAAGAACTATTGCTTGATGAATGTGATGTAGAGCATGGTGATGATGAGATAATGTACACATGATGCACATGATCATGCTCTAATTGAAGAGCTATTGCTTGATGAAGGTGATGGAAAGCATGTAATGATGATGGAGACCATGGTGATTAGAATCCATTTTTAAGGTTTTAGAATTCCAAAACAAAAAGAATGTACTAATTCATAACTAATCCGGAAATACCATCGAAAATCTTAAAAAGAATCAAAAGCCTAGTCGCCAAAAGAAACTAGACGAATGACTGAGTAACCGAAACTAAAAAAAGTCTATATTAATATTAGGACGTCGGCCAAAAAAAAAATCTGATCAATTAGATGAAAATATGTAATTGACAATTTTACCCTCAAATGTCTCACGGCCAAGTTGAATTTTTGTAGTCTCCAATTCAAGTCAAACGAGACTCGGGGTAATTTCGTAATTAGCCTCTACAGCCGTTTTAATTATTGCTGCGAAAACGAAATGTCGAGGGAAAACTTAATTAATTCAAAGTTTACGCCACGTGGGTATCAATTATTTTATCAACCAATAGTGTCGATTCAATAATATGAGACTGGCCACACATGATTATTCCCTTACCTGGCATTGCATCCATCTTCGTGGCTATCTGTCGGAAGGCTCCTCTCAGAGAATCTTGGTCAGTCCTTTTAGTCAAATTTTTACACCTTCTTGTTGTTTTTTTCCTTTTTTTATCCTCTTTTCTTCTTCGTTACTACTCTTTTTACCGACTCTCCTCTCTCTGCCTCTAGTCACGATCCACTAACCAGCTTCCGACAGGTTAGAAGGGAAGACCAAACTGATCTCATGTTTCTGTCGAGCGTCGTAGATTGATTGAATTGTTACTACTTCAAATTCTTCAGGAATTCACCGAATTCGCTATGCAATCTGGTGAGGTTTCTTACCGCAAAATGGGTTTTTCTCAAATTTTCTCCTTTTGCCTCCAAAATTTGTTTATTTTGTTGACGAAAGGCAAAAACTTTAGTTTTTTTTTCCTCTGTGTCTTCCGATGACTAAAAGGCTAAAGCTTTCAATTTTTGTTGTTGTTTGGGTTGATTTCAGAATACGAAATTAATACTCTGAAACAAGAAGCTCAGAGTCGTTGGTTGAAACCGCCTGAAGTGCACTTCATTCTGCAGAATCATGAAAGATATCAGTTACATCATAATGTACCTCAAAGGCCTACAAGTAAGTTTGACTTTTGCTTTCTTCACTTGGTTTTAGATAAAACGAAATTGATTTTGAACCAAGTGTTTTTTTTTTTTTGGTTCTCAACTCTTGTCTTAGGTGGATCTTTGCTTCTTTTCAACAAAAGGGTTCTTAAATTCTTCCGTAAAGATGGTCATCAATGGAGGAGAAAGAGGGATGGTAGAGCTATTGCAGAAGCACATGAAAGACTTAAGGTTGTTTAAGCACTACTAGCTATAGCCTTTGTGGCTCTTACATGTTGATTTGCTAGTGGTTTAAGACTATTCCAGTCTTTTGGGAGCTTTCTTGAATGGACACTTATCCAAAATATTGTCTTTTGCAACTTTATAAATGTTTCTTATGGTTGTGAAAGGACTCTTTTTTGATGTGTTTGTGAACAGGTGGGTAACGCCGAGGCCTTGAATTGTTATTATGCTCATGGAGAGCAAGACCCTACTTTTCAGAGACGTATCTACTGGATGCTAGATCCGTGAGTTGATCAAAGACTCTCTTTTGATGTGTATACAAGTAACTCAAAAAGGAAATGTTTTATAACATAAAGTTTATTGCTTTTCTTTTTGTATATCAGAGAATACGAACATATCGTCCTTGTTCATTACAGGGATGTTAGTGAAGGAAAAGAGGTGAGCTTTCTCCGTTAAGCTATATTTGTTATACTTAAAAGCAGAGCTTTAGTGTCATTGTATGACACCATGTTTGGCTTTAAAAACATATTCAGGGAAAGCAAACTAGTGGACATGTGTTGCAGTTTTCACCGAATCCTACGACTCTCTTTTCAAGTCCAAGCTCCATTGGGACACAGAATGCAAGCAACAATCACTACGTTGGTGACTCTACTGACATACATCAGCATTCATCGACTACTTCGCCGCAGGGGAATGCTGAAGTCAACTCTGACGTTGTGCTTAAGAGTAACGGAGTTGAGACACCTGCAGGCAGTACAAGCTCTTATGAGTTTGAAAGGAAGCAGGCTCTGAAGAGGCTTGAGGAACAGCTGAGTCTCGGAGATGATCATGTTCATACTGTAGATCCACTCTATACTGGATCAGAGAATTTGGATAGTCTCCAGTTTTTAGAGTTTAGTAACGACATTGATCACCTTGCTCAACCATCAACTGTACATCAGATTCAGAGACCAGAGAATAGCAAACTGGAGAGATGTTATGGAGGGTATGTTGGAGCTCAGTATAATGCTGATAATGTAAATCCAGTCTACACTCAGAACGAAAGTTTGGATATTCTCCAGTTTTTAGAGTGTAGTACGGACACCAATCACCTTGCTCAGCCAGCAAATTTACATCAGAGACCAGAGAATAACAGACTAGAGAGATGTTATGGAGGGTATGTTGGAGCTCAATACCATTCTAACAATCTCATGCTCGTTAAAAATGATTCAGGTACGCCAACGTTATACATCACTGGTTTTCCATTGACTATTTGCAATCTAGTTATCTATAGAGAGTAGCTTCACCATGCTCTTGAAGTCTTTTCACACTTTCTTCTTTGTTAGTGTCTCTTTGATGTTTGTCTATGCACGGAATTAAAGAAGGTTATTTACTGATTAGGAAAAGTAAAAAAAAACATTCTTCTTGCAGGTGGTAAAGGAGGGAGTGGCGACCAAGAGTCTGAATCTTGGAAAGATGTGCTGGAGGCATGTGAGGCTTCTATAGCTCTTAACTCTGAGGTAACTCTCTTGTATACTTTAATATAGTGGAACACTGCGAACAAACCAGATGTGCTATGGTTTTCTAATCTCTAATAGCATCTGAAGAGTAGATTTTCAAACTAATAAGTAAAAAGTTCTTAACTGAGGAATTTATTTACTAATGTTGAAAGCAGGGAAGCACACCAAATTCTGCAACAGGATTGCTACCTGGATTGCAGGAAGATTCCAATTGGAGTTACAGCAATCAAGTTGACCAATGTATGACATCTACTTGAATCCTGTTAGGCTTTGTGTCTTGTTTACTGTTTGGTCAGTTCTGATACTTGTCTTAAATTGTTTTCAGCTGCATTGTTGATGCCTCAAGAACTTGGTTCTTTTGAGGTTCCTGCTTGTTTTTCTGTACCGGGAGCTCCAGAGAACAATAGCCAGTACTGTAGAATGATGGATGATGAACAGGAAATGGCGCTGCCTCTGGAGCAAGATATGAGACAGACAGTTGCAGATAACCAAAAGTTCACTATCCAGGACATATCACCAGAGTGGGGTTACGCCAATGAAACTACAAAGGTCTAATCTCTTACTACTTGGGAGTGCATAAATCTACTCTCATACTTGATAGATGGTTTTATTTTCATGCCTGGTCAAAACAAATGTTGGTGATTTCCGTTTTTTTGAAGTTTCATTTTGACAATGCAGGTGATAATCATTGGATCATTTCTCTGTGATCCAACAGAATGTACATGGTCTTGCATGTTTGGGAGTGTTCAAGTTCCTTTTGAGATCATCAAAGAAGGTGCTATTCGGTGCCAAGCCCCTCCATGTGGCCCTGGAAAAGTCAATCTATGCATTACTTCTGGAGATAGACTCTCGTGTAATCAAATAACGGAATTTGAGTATCGTGATAAGCCTGAGACATCTTCCTCTAGGTGCAGTCCAGAAGAGCTTTCATTACTTGTAAAGTTTGTGCAGACACTTCTATCAGACAAGAAGACTAACCTAGACTCAGGCGTTGAGAAGTTGTTAAAGATTCTGAAAGCTGATGATGACCAATGGAGCCAAGTCATAGAAGCGATTCGAGATGGCACTGCAACATCATCAAGTACAGTTGATTGGCTTCTACAAGAACTGCTCAAAGACAAGCTAGATGCGTGGCTGTCTTCAAGATCCCAAGACCAAGAATATCAGATATCTTGTTCTTTGTCAAAGCAAGAACAAGGCATCATTCACATGGTTGCTGGCCTTGGCTTTGAGTGGGCACTCTATCCAATTCTTGGCCATGGAGTCAGTGTGGATTTCCGTGATAACAACGGTTGGAGCGCTCTTCATTGGGCTGCACGGTTTGGGAGTGAGAAAATGGTGGCTGCTCTTATAGCTTCAGGGGCATCAGCTGGAGCAGTGACTGATCCAACCGCGCAAGATCCAGCTGGTAAAACCGCAGCTTCAATAGCTGCCTCTAATGGCCACAAGGGTCTTGCAGGTTATCTATCAGAAGTAGCGTTAACAAACCATCTCTCATCGCTCACACTCGAAGAAACCGAAAACACTAGAGACACCGCTCAAGTGCAAGCAGAGATGACTCTAAGTTCCATCTCGGAACAAAGTCCTCTCGGTACTGACGACACGCTGGCTGCGGTGAGAAACGCGGCTCAAGCAGCAGCAAGAATCCAGGCAGCTTTCCGGGCGCATTCGTTTAGAAAGCGTCAACAGAGAGAAGCAGCTATGGCTGCTTGCTTTCAAGAGTATGGGATCTATGCAGATATCGAAGGGATCTCAGCCATGTCGAAGCTAGCGTTTGGAAACCACAGAAACTACCACTCAGCAGCTTTGTCTATTCAGAAGAAGTACCGTGGCTATAAAGGTCGTAAAGATTTTCTTGCTCTTCGCCAGAAAGTTGTCAAGATACAGGTATGGTCACAGCTTTATAGTACTAAGAATGAAGATAGTTTCTTGCGTTTCTTGCTCTTTAAGTAAGATAGTTTCTTGCGTTTCTTGCTCTTAAACTCTCTTTTGATCTCTGGCAGGCTCATATTCGAGGCTACCAAATAAGGAAGCATTACAAGGTTATCTGCTGGGCTGTAGGAGTTTTGGATAAGGTTGTGCTTAGGTGGAGAAGGAAAGGAGCTGGGCTAAGAGGTTTCAGGCAAGATGTAGAGACTGCAGAGGACAGTGAAGACGAAGACATTCTCAAGGTGTTTCGTAAGCAGAAAGTAGACGGTGCAGTGAACGAGGCTTTCTCTCGTGTTCTGTCCATGGCTAATTCTCCAGAAGCTAGCCAGCAATACCACCGCGTGCTCAAGAGATATTGTCAGACAAAGGTTAGTGTAAAGTTTGCAAGAAATGAATACAAAGGTTATAAAACAACTATAAGTTAGTATAAAGTGATAAATGTGTTTTCTTGAATGAATCTTTTTTGCAGGCTGAGCTTGGAAAAACAGAGACGTTAGGAACAGTTGGTGATGATGATGATGGGTTGTTCGACATAGCTGATATGGAAGATGATGATTTGTTTTCGTTGCCTTGAGGGGGAAGACATGGCAACAAGAACAACAATAACAAATGTGGATTTAGAGGGTTTTAATAGTCTTTGTAGATTGATGAAGTTTTTTTAAGAGTGAGTTTTAGTTTATAGAGTTGCGAAGAAGGAGAAGAAACAAGGAAAAGCTGTGTTTTATTAGTGTAAATATGATCCTCTTCTATTTCTGGTGGCTAGCTAAATTTAATAATTAATTAGTGCTCTTAAATTGATTTTCTTGTAAAAGTATACTATGATAGTATGATGTATTGTTGGAGAAACAAAACAATGTAAATAGTTCAAATTTGTGGTCTCGTTTTGCTTGTTTTTTTCTTTACTTTGTCGGCAATAAACGACAAAAAAGGAAAAATCGAAAGTCAATGCAGTATTGTTTAAAAAATTCGTAGAATAATTAAATTTGATGTATTATGAATAAAATTGTGCTATTTTGAAACAATTTCAACAGTAAAAGACCTGAAAATTATGTATTGGATTTTTTTTGTTTTTGTTGCTATTTTAAGGTATTTTTCTAAAAAAAATGAAATTGTTCTCTCGTTATAATTATGTATGTAATCGACAAAAAGGAAAATCAACATTTTTAATGCGTTTTAGAGAAAGAAACAATAGAGGTGACACGTGCACATCTCCGATCGTTTAGTTTACGCAAAGGATTTTTCATTTTTGAGTAGAAAAGCAGAAAAAATGATGAATCAACAACACACCGTCTTGTCGTCTTCCTCAATCGAACCATGCGCACTTTAGCAATCACGGCTCACGGATGCTTCTCTTCTTCCTCTTGAAGCTTCGCTTTACTGAGCGATAGATATTACTAAAAAAAGCATCTGAGACCTCAATTACCTCACCATCCACCGATTCCTACATTCTCTGTATGTGTTTCCTCTTCCGTCACTAAACCTCGTCGATTTCTTAGTTTCGATTCTCCCCTAATTGTTCGTATTTCCGTTTGGTGAATGATTATCGGAAATGGAAACTTCGATGATTTAGCTTGGATTGCTTGTTGAACGGAATCAAATTCTAGTGAAATCAAGAGATCTATAAGAAACGAGACACGGTCTTTACAGTTGCCGCATGTGGGGTTTGCAACGAGAAGCATCCTCCTCGATGTATAAGAGAACGACGTCATCGAGAGATTATTCACCAATGCTTGACGTCGAAGAAAACTCAGGTACGATTACGAAACATGCATAATCAGTAAAGTAGAATCTCAGTTTGCGCATAAAAGTAGCAACTTGCTGGGTTTTGAGGTTTTTAACTAGAGATTTGTGTTGATGATAGTCTTTTTCAATCTTCCAATTTCGAAATATACAGGTCTTTTACAGAGTGATGTGAACAAAGAAATGGAAATTACTAATCCTCCATGGATATGTTCTCTTCCACACGTTCTTGTGGCTACAATCTCGTCTTTCCTATTCGGCTACCACCTAGGGTTCGTGATTTTATATGAAATTGTTTGCCAAGTAGTAATCACTACTTGTGTTCATTTTCTTCAACTTGTAACTTTTTTCTCTGTTACAGAGTTGTGAATGAGCCGCTTGAGAGAATTTCTTCTGACCTTGGCTTTAGTGGTGATACATTAGCAGAAGGTATACATACTACTTCTGCTTTCTATGTTCGTGGCATATGGATTCGTTAGTCATCACCACATTTGTTTTATTATAATCTCTGTTGCTTTATATGTGAAGGCTTGGTGGTTAGTGTATGTCTTGGTGGGGCATTTATCGGATCTTTATTCAGCGGAGGAGCTGCGGATGGACTTGGACGACGGAGAGCCTTTCAGCTTTGTGCTTTGCCTATGATTTTGGGTGCTTTTGTAAGGTAACATTTTTTCTTTTTATCACTTTCAGAATTTCCTCTTCCTACTACAATACCTGTTGCCTGTCTCCTACCAAGATCTTTTTTAGATTCCTCCTTGCTTGTGATTCTTTTTGAAAAATGGCCCAACAAGGGAATGTTAGTAGGCTTATAAGTGTTGACATTTATCCATAAGAGATAAGCATTGGTAACTGCAAATTTCTGTGACTTTTAGTGTACATAAGTAGAAAGTTCCTATTTCTTGTCACTTACCAGAAGCAACTGTTTCTATCTTGTTCTATTAGAGTAAAATATGTTAGGTCCAGAATTCAGTTCTCTGTTTTATCTCTCAAAGAAAGGACTCAGTGTTAAATGGAAGACAAGTCTAGTAAAATTTACCAATATTCAAGGGTTTGCTGTATAGATCTCTAAATTCTCTCAAGTCCTCTCAAGCCTTAAGACCAACCACCGATAACTTAACAATTGTACCACTTCTCAAGCCTCCCCTGTTTATTCTGATCTCACGCAATGATGTATATTTTGTTGTTGCATGTGTGTTTGCTGTAGATCTTATTAAAAAAAATCATGATCCTTTGGCAGGAGTTGCTGTTGTTTCCATTAGTTTGATTTGCTGCTAATGCTAAAATGCGTTTGAATTCTCTCAGTGGAGTTAGCAACAGCTTAGCTGTCATGCTTTTGGGAAGATTCTTGGTTGGGACTGGCATGGGTCTTGGGCCACCTGTGGCAGCACTCTATGTCACAGAGGTATATCATCAACACAATAGCCCAAAGAACTTTTATGAACCTTACTCTGCAACAAGTTTGGAGCCGCTTGACTTACTAAGCTTTTTTTTCAAATTATGAGTAGGTATCACCAGCTTTTGTTAGGGGAACATATGGAAGCTTCATACAAATAGCTACATGCCTGGGACTGATGGCAGCCTTGTTTATAGGGATCCCAGTTCATAACATCACTGGTTGGTAAGTTTGTTCATCGTTTTATAGAATCTATCATAATCTCTAGTGGAATCAATAAATATCATGATTCTCTAAAGCATATTTTAAGATGTTTTGATCATTTATGTCGTTATGATACACAGGTGGCGTGTTTGTTTCTGGGTATCAACGATACCTGCTGCAGCACTGGCTCTAGGGATGTTCTTCTGTGCCGAGTCCCCCCAGTGGCTATTCAAGGTCTGGCTCACAATTCGAAATTTACAATACATAAGCATCTCAGATAATTCTGAAATCTACACCAATGTTCTGTTGTTGTTGAGCCTGGAAACTAAACTTAGTCTTACACTACTGGTTCAGTGCTCCTCTTTCCTTTCCTTTTGTGATCATTGTTAATGAAAGTCTGATAATCTTATGCAGCAAGGGAAGATAGCTGAAGCCGAAGCTGAGTTTGAGAGGCTGCTCGGAGGGTCTCATGTGAAAACAGCAATGGCGGAACTACACAAACTAGAACTAGACAAAGCGGATGAGCCAGATGTTGTGACCGTCTCAGAGCTGTTATATGGTCGGCATTCAAGAGGTATATAACTAACTCTTGTTTTTTTCTCCTGAGAAAGTAAATGAAAACATCTCTACGCTGTGTGTATTCTTGTGTCTATTTGGTTTCCTGTATAGTACTTTGTTATTCACTTGTTCCTTTTGCAGTTGTTTTTATTGGATCAACCCTGTTTGCTTTGCAACAGCTATCTGGTATAAATGCTGTTTTTTATTTCTCTTCCACCGTTTTCAAAAGCGCCGGAGTACCATCTGACACGGCCAACATATTCGTTGGGATTTCAAACCTCTTGGGTACAGTAGCCTTCTCCTCAACTGTTTTCTTTTTCTCCTCTTGTCTTTTCAATCGTATGGATCTTGGACCGTAACACTGTTCTCTGATTATCAGGATCTCTGATCGCGATGGTGTTGATGGATAAATTAGGAAGGAAGCTTCTTCTCCTTTGGAGTTTTCTTGGCATGGTGTGTTTTGTACATTTATTTGTGTTCATCTATGTTAATATTTGAGGAAAGCCGACTTATTGTTTTGATGTGTATAGGCAGTAGCAATGGCACTTCAAGTTGGTGCTACAAGTTCGTACTTACCACATTTTCCGGCGCTGTGTTTATCAGTCGGCGGCACTCTCATGTAAGTGTGTTCAAACGGAAATCTATTTTCCATATTATTTTTGATCTTCTGAATACAATTGTCATTTTCTGATACAGGTTTGTGCTAACATTCGCCTTAGGAGCTGGACCAGTACCAGGTTTACTCCTCCCTGAAATCTTCCCAAGTCGAATAAGAGCAAAAGCTATGGCTTTCTGCATGTCTGTGCATTGGGTAAATTAATAAAAAAATTTCCGTTTTTTATTCATTTCAAGATTGTGTTTTGGTTCATAACGTTGCTTCTGAACATTGTTGGTGTAGGTGATAAATTTCTTTGTGGGTTTACTGTTTCTGAGGTTGCTTCAGCAGCTCGGTCCTCGGCTGCTATACTCGATGTTCTCAACGTTCTGTTTAATGGCGGTGATGTTTGTCAAGAGGAACGTGATTGAAACCAAAGGAAAAACACTTCAAGAGATTGAGATTTCTCTGCTGGCCAAACCGTGATTGAAGCCAAAGGAAAAACACTACTAGAGATTGAGATTTATATGCTAGGCAAACCATGACCGTGTTTCATTTTCCTACGTATTACTTTCACTCTGTCTTGTTGGTCACTGTTGTAGATCAAATGTGCTCTAAATAAAGTCAAGAATTTCTCGGTCACTACAAGTCCCCAAGCCAGTGGAAAAAGTGGGTTGGTACAAAAAGCTGATAGATGAAGAAACAGAGTATCCTCAATTCTTCCTTTTCTGTAAAACGTGCAAAAGAAGATTAGATCTGTAAGTTTTATTGGTTCATGGAGCAGTTTTGGAACTAAAGATGAATCATTGAGATCAAAAGGGGAACTCGTAAAATCATGCAAGTCATTTACTGATTAAGGTTCTGTTCTTAACTCTGATTGAAGATCGATCAATCGAGTTAGGCTAAGATCATTGAGACAAAGAAAGATAATGATAAAAAACCTTGCAAGAATTGAAGAGTGAATGAAACCGCAGTCCTTGAAAACAGAATTTCTCTGAATAGGAAGGGAGATTTTTCATGAAAAGTATCTTTGTTTGTTGTTTAATGTAAATTATATGATACAGTCATGAGTAAAAAAATCGAGAAATATATGTAAGAACTCTCTTCTAGGGGACATTTCAACAAAAACAATTTCCACTCTTGTCTTGTGTTAAAAACTTGCAATTTTGGCATTGCATTCGAAACTGCCAAGGTGTTTTTGGGTCAAAACTTGATATGGGTGAAGATGATAGGTGTTGGGACAGATACATGAACACAAAAGTTGTGTTGTGCAAGAAAGGAAAGAATAAACATATTATATGGTTATGATTACAAACTTTGAACTTTTTGTCTCATACAACAACCTATCACGAGTAATTCCACAAGGAAGACAGTTTAGGTAATCCTATCCTCTTCTTTGTGGAAAGCCAACCGATATAAGTTCCGACAGCAACAACTCTCAAGAAGCAGAAGATACGATAAACACAGCTCAACCAATGATTCAAGAGAATCAATTAGGACCTGCCAGCTTAACCAAGGGATTTGATACAATCCTCGCTTGAGACGTGCTTCTTGAACTTGTTGAGATCTCTCTAAATCTTCCGAAAACAAGGATAGAGAATACTCTTCTCTCAAAGCCTAAGTTCTTTTATTAATAATCAACAGCTTTCTAATACAAGAAGCCTAAACGGCTATATATAAGAAAACCATAAAACAATAATAATTAATTTAAATGATAAAATAATAATATAAATATTTGGAATATTTCTAATTATCTTCCTGCATCAAGAACAAAGATATAATGAAGTGGAAGCTGGTGAATCTCCAGTCGACATGGTTTCTTTCTACCGAAGTTTTGTTGTAGCCTATGTGATGTGATAATACTTCTTGGACTGCTTGCATCTCTCTCTTTTGATTCTCCATGGAGGAGAGCTTGTTTCTACATCGTTGATATTTTCATCCACAAGTTAAGGGAGTTGTTGTGGTAAATCACTGTTGTACTTGTATTGTAACAAATCCAGGACACAACTCATGTTTGGTTCCTTTGTCTTTGTAGATCTTAAAACAGTTTATCTCTTTTTATCACTTGCATCCATTAGACAGCAACGTTTTCGGCTACGTCTGTTTAATGGCGGTAATGTTTGTGAAGAGGAACATGATTGACACCAAAGGAAGAACTCTTCAAGAGATTAAAATATCTTTGCTAGCCACCAAACCGTGATGCGACTGTCTTTTATTAATTTGGTAAAACCGATTCGAACCAAACCAGAATAGGTCATATGGTTTGGATTTGGATACACCGCATAAACCGAATGGATGCAATTTTATATAAATCGTGGATATTGGTATGGTTTGGATATTAACCGAACTAACCGCAAAAACCGAAAAAAACCCGAATAGTTCTATAGATTAATATAGTAGTATACACATACTAGATAAAGCCCCGCGTATACGCGGGATTTATTTAAATTTTTTTGAAACAAATTACCAAAAAATTATCATACAAAATATAATAAATTTAAAAAAAAATAATAATAATAATATTGAGAACCCGATAAGAATTCTCTGAATGACATACGATGCACAAAACTTAAATTATGTATTCTTGCTTATTTTTTACCTTTTCCGTTAGAATATGGAACCGTTATATTTAGAATATGATGCATGCAAATATTTTCTTTTTCCTTTTCCGTTAGAATATGAAACATTTTTCAGTTTAAATATGGAAGTATATATTTATTTCCATTTCTTTAATTTTAGAATATGAGTTATGCAAAAACACTTTTTCCTTCTTCCGTTATAATATGGAATATTTTTTCCGTTAGAATATTGCAATATACGTTTTCCTTTTTTTAACACATTTTAAAATAGTTTTTTTGTTCCTTTTTTTTCAAAACACATATCAAAATCTTAATATGAGTAAAATTAAAGTTGATACATGTCGCGATAACCTATTATAGGGGTTCACATAATCTATTTCATGCAGTTAGAAGGATTTTATTTAATATATTATTAAGAATTTAAGATGAGTTAATATAACCTATTCCATGTAATATTAAGATTTTGTTTAATTGAATTTAATATGTGTTTATCTATTCCAAGTACTAATAGAATTTTGTTTATTTGAATTTAATATGTGTTTGGAGTTTGGACAGTATATATTTGATGAATGTGAAACATTTTTCTGTTAGGATATGATAAATATTTTGTGTTCTTTTACTATAATGGATACAATTTTTTGTTTTAATTTTTTTCAGGACACATGTCATGATCTTAACAACAATAAAACTGAAAGTGACACATGTCGCTATCCTGTAAATTATAAAATCCTATGCGTCACAACCACGTCGCGCGCATCCAACTTTATATAATAAGATTTTCGTTTTTATTATAAGATATTAAAATTTTCCCTTTATTTTTTTTTTATAGTTTACATACATATTCCATGTATTAATAGGATTTTTTAAAATAGTGGTTTTTGTAACTTATTCCATACAGTTTTAGGATATTTAGTTTACATACCTGTTCCATATACTAATAGATATTTTTTATTACATTATTGCCAATTTATATAATAAGATTTTCGTTTTTATTATAAAAGATTAAAAAAATTTCTTTTAAAAAGAATTTGTTTTCTATTACATTATTTTCAATTTATATAATAAAAATTTCGTTTTCATTATAAAAGACTAAAATTTTCCCTTTAAAAAAAAAATCTTTTTTCAAGACATGTGTCATGATCTTAACGGAAGTAACATTAAAAGTGACACATGTCACAATCCTATATTTTATAAAAATCTTACGTGTCGCAACCACGTTGTGCGCATCCAGCTTTATATAATAAGATGATTAACAATAATGTAAGTTTAGAGTACTCTCATATAGAATTATAAATTATTAATTTACCAAAATTTAACAATTATGAAACACTAGACATTAAAACCTAGATCTTTAGAGTTTTCTATTTTTAAATAAGATATGAATTTGCATTTTCTTATTTGAATTTGATCATTCGATTACCAGAAAAATTAAAATATCTTTATAATAAAATAATAATCGAACAAAAAGTACAAATAACGCGAAAACCGAGACTATCCGAACCGAAAATATCGGAACCGAGAAAACCGAAACTATCCAAACCGAGCCATTCCAAAATAAGCATGGTTCTAATATGATAGCTATTTTTTATTAACTGAAAACCAAAAATACCGAACGGAAACCGAACCGATATCCAGATTAAACACCCCTTATCTTTCCATATTCCTACTTGAGCACTTGTCCTGTCTTGTTGTTTGTAGATCAAATATTTTCTAAATCGTTCTTTAAAATTCCACGTCAACAAATCAATGTCAGGATTAGAAAGACTCAATTTTGACCAAAGAAAAACAAACACGAAACATTCTATATACATATATAAACACCATATTACTAAAAATAGTTCTCAGACTTTATACTCTATCCTCATAATCTTGACCATTCAGATCATAATAACAATTCGAAAAAGTATTCTTAACCATTTAATTTTTTTGTTTTTTTTTTGTTTTTTTTTGTTAATTCTTATGGAAAATGTTGACAAATGTTTAAACATGGTGTCCTAGATTTTGGGACATATTTTTGTATGCTTCCATACGACTAATGATGAACACCTATCATTTTTTTCTTCATTTCCTTACAGAACCACCATACAAAAAAAAAAAACAAAGGAAGACATTGAGTCAAGGAAATAATTTTGCTAACCACTCATTTAAAACGAAAAATGATAGTCAAAAATAAACACAAATTAAAACTTATAAATCCCCACATGTGATGACCTTCTCCTCCAACAAACACATAATTTCTCATTCTCCCACCTTAAACATTAGAAAACCCCCCCAAAAAAAAGTCAAGAAAATGAGAGCCTCAACGAGACTCTTGTGGAAACTATCTGTCATTGTTTTGCTTTTGCTGACAGTAGTTTCCGAGGCACACGTCGATCCTGAACTAGACCTCGCATCCACAGGGCAAAACAAGGCACATGATGAGGTAATTGATGTCACCGAGAATACTGCCAAACGTGAAGCCGCCGAAATAAAACCACCGCAACAAGGAAAACGTCAGGGTAAATATATTAATAATTAAATGTATAGTTTCTGTTTGTTTATTTATAATTTATGGGTCAACAGTATATTTCTGTTTGTTTGTAGTTTCTTAAGGTGATCAAAAGTATCACTAATTATATATTGTGTCTTTACATAACTTTAACTTTGTAATATATTATAAATTTAAAAAGACATTGTGTTCGATTTATAGATACGCATCTATTTTATTTTATCTTGTCATCGATCGATACGCATCTGTTTATGGAGAGCAAAACTCAACCATAACGACTATGATTTCTTTAAAAAATTACAAAGTATTATACATATGATATATACAACACTGGATAAACATATGCAGAGTCATCATTGTGTGTGTGGGATTCTTTGACGCAGAGATACTATACATCAATATACTTGGTCCCTGGAATTGGGGTGATTAAACGACTTGAATCGTCATTGCAGAAAATAAATATTGGGTTCCATAAGCTCAGTCCAATTCCCACACTAGTATGATATTGTCCATTTTGGGTCTTGTAACATCCATAAACCAAAAATAAAAATTGGGAATTTTGTCGGTTCAATTTAAGTGAATTGGTTTGGGTCGGTTTAGTGGAGAAAGCCCTAAAATCAAGTTTAAAGAGTGCAGCCGTCTTCTCTTTGGAGAATTTTCGAGTTCAGATGCTGTAGAGGAGAAAAGTTGAGTTTTTGGAGAGATTTTCGAATTTTACTGTTCATCGGCACTGTTCATCGGTACTGTTCATCGGTACTGTTCACGGGTTACTGTTCATCGGTACTGTTCACGGGTACTGTTCATCGGACTGTTCATACTGTTCATCGTCCTTCCTTTTTCCTTCAGTTTCAGTCATTGTCAAGGTGAGTGCATGACTGTGGGTCCGTGATTTGCTAGATTAGATTTGGTTTGTGGTTGTTCTTGATGAGTTTATGTTTTTAATTGTTATTTTTATGATATTTTGGTTGTTTCATGTGATGAATTGTGTGTTTGTGTGGTTTAATCTGGTTTATTGGTTTAATTGAATTTAATTGATTTGATTCTGGTTTATCTTGGTTCAATTGAATTTAATTGGTTTAATTGAATTTAATTGGTTTAATGGAATTAAATAGATTTAATTCGGATTTAATTAATTAAATAATATTTATTTAATTAATTGGTATTATTTTAATTATTTTAAAATATGGAAAATTATTATTTAATTATGAGAATTATTTAATAATTGAGAAATTGAGTTTTAATTATTAAAAATTATTTAATAATTGGAAAATGGTATTTAATAATTATTGGAGTTTATAAATATTATTAAATATCTAGTAAATTGCGTAAATGGCTCGTAGGCAGAGTGATTGCCTCACTAAGTATTTATTAAATACTTACGCAACTCCATTCCAATGTGTTGCAGGTAAAAGATTTGTGTGATCGCGGAATCAAGGCTGAAGAGGGGGATGATAGGATGTTTACTGTTTTATTGTTTTGCATTATTTTGCTAGACTTGTTTAATTATTATTTGCTTCCGCTGAGCTGATTTATTTGTTATTGATATTTTATTTATTTAATTTATTTTTAAGACCTTCGCTAGAATTGATTAATATTTATTAAAAAAAAAAAAATGTTGGTTGTTTCATTTTGGTATCAGAGCCTAGACGGTTTTAGGACTGTTAGAATTGCTAGGCTTTAGTATCATCCCCTTCAGCTACAAGAGATTCCGCGGTGAGTTTATGTTTGTTTTGAGTTTTGGTTGCGTGTTCTAGTGTGCTCTTTTCGGTTCCATGAGTGAGATGGACTGAGTAGCTAGAGGTTGTGGCGCGAGAGGGCGCGGTGCTGAGGCCGTGGTGGCAGAGCTAGAGGCCGTGGAGGTCGGGGCCGAGATTGTGGACTTCGGCGGATTCGGGAGAGAGTGTGGTGCCGAGTGTGGCGACTGCGTCGGTGACCCAGTCGGTATCCGTGGCGAGTGAGGCCAGTGTGGATGCGAGTGTTGGTTTGGGAGCGGGGGCTGCTCCGGGTTGGGGTGGTGCTCCGGCTCAGGGTCTTGATGACTTAGTGGTGGGTTTGCTGACGCAGTTATTGGCTCGTTTTCCGCCAGTGGTTCCACAAGGGGCTCCGGGAGTACCTCCAGTGGCAGAGGTGCAGCAGAGGGCTGCGGGATTTGTTCAGCCGCAGGCTGTGGGTTTGATGGTGCCGTCCTATTTGGATATGATGGGGCACATGCAGAGGATTGGTACGCCGTACTTTGAGGGCGGAGTTAGCCCAGAGGCGGCAGATGAGTGGCGTCAGAGATTGGAGCGGAATTTCCAGTCTATCAGATGTTTGGTTTAGTACCAGGTTGAGTTGGCAGTCCACTATCTGAGTGGAGATGCACATTTGTGGTGGCGGGCCATCGAGGGCATAATGGTTGTTGTTGCTGTGTGTTGTTCATTTATCTGTGATAAAATTGTTGAGGTTCTCAACGCATGTGTTTCGTAATGACCTTGTTAGTGGGCGGTTTTGAGTCCCACGTTTTATTCGACTCTGGAGCATCGAATTGCTTCATTACACCGGAGCGTGCCGAGAAGAGTGGCATCCGGAGTAGCGCGGGCGAGAGCGCGGGCATGGTCAAGGTGGCGGGAGGTGGATTCTTGTCTACTTTGGGCCGTGCTAGAGGAGTCGAGATCGAGATTGCGGGGCAGTCAATGCCAGCAGACTTAGTCATCAGTCCGGTGGAGCTGTATGACGTTATTCTCGGGATGGACTGGTTGTCACACTACAGAGTTCATCTGGATTGCTACAGAGGTAGAGTGGTCTTCGAGCGAGATGCAGGGAGGTTGGTTTATCAGGGAGTGAGACCGACTTCCGGGAGTATTGTGATATCTGCTATTCAGGCCGAGCAGTTGTTAGAGCGGGGCTGTGAGGCGTATCTGGCGACGATTTCTATGTCTGAGTCAGGAGCTGGAGTTGTTATGGGAGATATTGAGGTTGTCCAGGATTTTGAGGATGTCTTTCAGTCACTGAAGGGATTACCACCATCTCGGTCTGATCCTTTCACGATTGAGTTAGAGCCGGGGACAGCACCGATATCGAAGACGCCTTACAGGATGGCGCCAGCTGAGTTGGCAGAGCTGAAGAAGCAGATAGAGGACCTTTTGTCTAAGGGGTTCATTCGACCGAGTGTTTCACCGTGGGGAGCACCGGTGTTGTTTGTGAAGAAGAAGGATGGCAGTTTCAGACTTTGTATCGATTACAGAGGTCTTAACCGAGTCACTGTGAAGAACAGGTACCCACTCCCGAGGATTGATGAGTTGTTGGATCAGTTGAGGGGTGCTACTTGGTTCTCCAAGATTGACTTGGCATCGGGGTATCATCAGATCCCGATAGATGAGGCAGATGTCAGGAAGACTGCTTTCAGGACGCGTTATGGGCATTTTGAGTTTGTGGTTATGCCTTTCGGTTTGACTAACGCGCCGGCAGCCTTCATGAGATTGATGAACGACGTGTTCAGGGAGTATTTGGACGTGTTTGTCATCATTTTCATTGACGATATTCTGGTATACTCGAGGAGTCAGGAGGAGCATGCGACTCACTTGAGGTTGGTTCTGGAGAAGCTTCGGGAGCAGAAGCTTTTTGCTAAGTTGAGCAAGTGCAGTTTCTGGCAGCGAGAGATGGGATTTCTTGGCCACATTGTTTCTGCAGAGGGAGTTTCTGTGGATCCGGCTAAGATTGAGGCTATCAGAGATTGGCCTAGACCTAGTAGTGCCACCGAGATCAGGAGTTTTCTGGGTTTGGCAGGATACTACAGGAGGTTCGTCAAGGGGTTTGCTACCATGGCGCAGCCGATGACGAAGTTGACCGGGAAGGATGTCCCTTTTATTTGGTCAGCTGAGTGTGAGGAGAGCTTTAGTCAGCTCAAGGAGATGTTGACTACTACACCAGTGTTGGCGTTACCCGAGCCAGGGAAGCCTTACATGGTGTATACAGATGCTTCAGGCATTGGTCTTGGTTGTGTGCTGATGCAGGAGGGCAGAGTGATAGCATATGCTTCGAGACAGTGGCAGGGCAGTGAGCGTAACCGTCCTACACATGACTTAGAGTTGGGAGCAGTGATCTTCGCGTTGAAGATTTGGAGGTCTTACTTGCTAGGTGAGACAGTACAGGTCTTCACGGATCACAAGAGTTTGCAGCATATCTTCACTCAGCCGATGATGAACGCGAGACAGACGCGCTGGGTTGAGTTCTTGGCGGATTATCAGGTGAGCATTAACTACCATCCGGGCAAGGCTAACCTAGTGGCGGACGCGTTGAGTAGACGGAGGTATGATTCCGCAGTTGAGCGAGATGTGGAGTCTCTAGTTGGCGAGATCAGTACCTTGCGTTTGTGTGCCATTTCGCAGGAGCCTTTGGGTTTAGAGGCAGTGGATCAGGCGGATCTACTTAGCAGGATCAGAGTTGCTCAGCAGAGTGATCAGAGTTTGCTGGATGCGACGAGAGTGACTGGTTCTGAGTATGAGGTCTCTGCGAATGGGACTATCTTGGTTCGTGGGCGAGTTTGTGTGCCTAAGGATGTGGAGTTGAGACATCAGATTTTGGGAGAGGCTCACGCGAGCAAGTTTTCCATTCATCCGGGAGCGACCAAGATGTACCATGACCTCAAGAGGTACTATCATTGGGTCGGGATGAAGAGGGATGTAGCAGACTGGGTTGCGAAGTGCAACACTTGTGCCTTGGTGAAGGCAGAGCATCAGGTTCCGGGTGGTCTTTTGCAGAGTTTACCCATTCCAGAGTGGAAGTGGGACAGGATTACGATGGATTTCGTGGTTGGACTACCTGTTTCGAGGACTTTCGATGCTATCTGGGTGATTGTGGATCGGTTGACTAAGTCGCACATTTCTTGGCCATCAAGAAGACAGATGGAGCTGCTGTCTTGGCTAGGAAGTTTGTGCGAGAGATTGTGAGGCTGCATGGAGTGCCAGCTAGTATTGTGTCAGACCGTGATCCCAGATTCACTTCAGAGTTTTGGAGGGCGTTTCAGGCAGAGATGGGCACTAAGGTGCATCTGAGTACAGCTTATCATCCGCAGACAGATGGTCAGTCAGAGAGGACTATTCAGACTTTGGAGGATTTGCTGAGGATGTGTGTGTTGGATTGGGGTGGCCATTGGGCAGATCACCTGAGCTTAGTTGAGTTTGCATACAACAACAGCTTTCAGGCGAGTATTGGCATGGCTCCATTTGAGGCTTTGTATGGGAGGCCATGTAGGACACCCCTATGCTGGACCCAAGTGGGGGAGCGCAGCATGTATGGAGCTACTTATGTTCAGGAGACGACAGAGAAGGTTCGTGTTGTGAGGCTGAACATGAAGGAGGCTCAGGATAGGCAGAAGAGTTATGCAGATAGACGCAGACGAGAGCTTGAGTTTCAGGTTGGAGATAGAGTTTATCTCAAGATGGCTATGTTGAGGGGTCCTAACAGATCCATAGCAGAGAACAAGCTGAGTCCGCGATTTATGGGTCCGTTTCCAGTAGTGGAGCGAGTTGGGCCATTGGCTTACAGGCTGGAGTTGCCTGAGATTATGAAAGCCTTTCACAAGGTTTTTCATGTGTCGATGCTGAGGAAGTGTCTTCACCCTACAGAGGAGTTAGTGGCTAGGATTCCAGAGGATCTTCAGCCAGATTTGACAGTGCCGGCAGTGCCTATGAGGATTTTAGAGAGGAGGGAAAAGGTTCTGAGGAACAAGAGGATTCCCTTACTGAGGATTTTGTGGGATTGCAGTGGTTCTACAGAGGAGACTTGGGAGCCAGAGGCAAAGATGAAGTTGAAGTTCAGGAAGTGGTTCGACAAGCAGGTCGAGGAGTGAGCTTATTTCATCTTTGTAGCCTCAGTTGTTATTTTTGGCTTTGGTGTTATTGTATTTTCGTTTTCGTTGTAACGATTACATTTTGGAGTTTTAATGAGATGCAGTTTTTCCTCATTTTGCCTTGTGTTGTGAAAAGGTATTCGGATGTTACACATGTTTGACCAGTTTTTGGTTGTGAGACGGTCTAATCTTATGGTTATAGACATTTTCCGGAATTTTTACTCTAAGGATTGCGATCCTGAATAACTCATCATGTTTTTGGAGACTTCGTTCTCTGGCAGACTCTCTGGGTGCAAGTAGGCCTCAGTTGAGTGTAGCTTATATGGGTGCAAGTAGGCCTCAGTATAAGCAGTTTAGTTCATCTGGGTGCAAGTGGGCCTCAGTATGGACGTTTTCGGGTTCGTCTGGGTGCAAGTGGGCCTCAGTGCGGACCGGTGTGGACTTGTCTGGGTGCAAGTGGGCCTCAGTACAAGTTGTTTGGTGTGTTTGGATGATGAGTTAGGAGTGAAATTTTCTTGGAACGTGTTTATGACATAAGATATGACGTTTGTCTCGGGGATCAAGTGAGGATCTCCGGTGTTGCGGCCTTGCGAGGTTGGGTTTTGTGGTCTTTGTGACGTTTGCGTTGGGATTCGAGGACGAATCCAGTTTAGTGGGGAAGAGTTGTAACATCCATAAACCAAAAATAAAAATTGGGAATTTTGTCGGTTCAATTTAAGTGAATTGGTTTGGGTCGGTTTAGTGGAGAAAGCCCTAAAATCAAGTTTAAAGAGTGCAGCCGTCTTCTCTTTGGAGAATTTTCGAGTTCAGATGCTGTAGAGGAGAAAAGTTGAGTTTTTGGAGAGATTTTCGAATTTTACTGTTCATCGGCACTGTTCATCGGTACTGTTCACGGGTTACTGTTCATCGGTACTGTTCACGGGTTACTGTTCATCGCTGTTCATCGGCACTGTTCATCGTCCTTCCTTTTTCCTTCAGTTTCAGTCAATTGTCAAGGTGAGTGCATGACTGTGGGTCCGTGATTTGCTAGATTAGATTTGGTTTGTGGTTGTTCTTGATGAGTTTATGTTTTTAATTGTTATTTTTATGATATTTTGGTTGTTCATGTGATGAATTGTGTGTTTGTGTGGTTTAATCTGGTTTATTGGTTTAATTGAATTTAATTGATTTGATTCTGGTTTATCTTGGTTCAATTGAATTTAATTGGTTTAATTGAATTTAATTGGTTTAATGGAATTAAATAGATTTAATTCGGATTTAATTAATTAAATAATATTTATTTAATTAATTGGTATTATTTTAATTATTTTAAAATATGGAAAATTATTATTTAATTATGAGAATTATTTAATAATTGAGAAATTGAGTTTTAATTATTAAAAATTATTTAATAATTGGAAAATGGTATTTAATAATTATTGAAGTTTATAAATATTATTAAATATCTAGTAAATTGCGTAAATGGCTCGTAGGCAGAGTGATTGCCTCACTAAGTATTTATTAAATACTTACGCAACTCCATTCCAATGTGTTGCAGGTAAAAGATTTGTGTGATCGCGGAATCAAGGCTGAAGAGGGGGATGATAGGATGTTTACTGTTTTATTGTTTTGCATTATTTTGCTAGACTTGTTTAATTATTATTTGCTTCCGCTGAGCTGATTTATTTGTTATTGATATTTTATTTATTTAATTTATTTTTAAGACCTTCGCTAGAACTGATTAATATTTATTAAAAAAAAAAAAATGTTGGTTGTTTCAGGTCTAAGTAGCAAAGTCCTTGTATAAGGGTTTGTTAGGAAGACTTTCGACATAAGGACCGACATCCCTATTAGTAAAGTCACCTTTGAAGGCTCCTCTCACAATGAACACACAAGAGCCCACACCCACTTTTCTCCTAGATCCATCTTTTTGATCCCTAGGCTTTGAAATCATTTGTTGGGCTCCATAAGCCGAGTCCAGCTCTCCCACTAATATGATATTGTTCGTTTTAGGCTCAAGTGGTAAAGTTTGCACGAATATCTCTTTGAACTTCTCCCAAAAGGCCTCATACTAGTTAGAGTTGGATATTACTTATATATTAGACACTTCTTGTCTAAACTTTCCAATGTAAAATTTAATTGATATCTCAACAATTAAATTAGCCCAATAAGATTCGATTTACGCAGTTAAATTATTGGACAGCGTTTGTCAATCGATGTCATAAGTCGATCACGTCCAATTATGCTTTTTTTTTTCTTGGATAGAATTTCATGATATTTACCGTCTCTTAAATATAAGTTCGAGGGACGATTCTCCAAATTCAAGGTGTGAATGAGAGATAGTGTTACAATAGGAGGTTCATCTAGGAAAATGATATGTGATGATGAAGAGCTAGCGATGAGAATTGACAAATTAATTATTCAGTTGAATGGCTTGAGTCCATTTTTCCCAACCTCCGACGCTTTCCAACTTGCTGGTTTTTCGCAATCTACTAGAGGGTTACTTACGCCTAATGTGTGGGATTGAGTAAACTTTAACAAAATTCATATAAAATAAATTATTATTGAATGAATATAACATTTTTTATATTATTTTTAGATTAATATCTATATTGTTTCTTTATCAATCCATATAAGTATTTTAAATATAAGAATATGTATATTGTTTCGATTACTAATATTGTAGTGGTTTATGTTCTGGAATAATGGATAGATATTTGGTTATTTATTTATGTGTATTATTATATGTAAGTTCTTTCCTATTTTCAAAATACATTAATTACGTGATTTGTTCAAAAGATTATAATTTAACTAAATCTAAAAGACCTTTAGAAATATTGCTAATAAAATTTTGTCAAGGTAAACCTTCTTTAAAATTTATATTTAGAAAGCAAATAGCAATATCCACTACATATTGAACTTAAAATACATGTACCAAAAAAAAAGTTTTAATGCAAAATATAGTTCTGCTAATTTTCACCCAAATTTAAGTCTGTAAATTTCCAGCAAACATATTTAAACTCGAAAAGTTATTTCCAGATGTTTACCCACGCCTAATGCGTGGGATTGAATAACTGTAAAAAAATTCATATAAAATAAATTATTATTGAATAAATATGACATTTTCTATATTACTTTTAGATTCATATCTATTTTGTTTCTTTATCAATCCATATAAATATTTTAAATATAATAATATGTATATTGTCTCAAGTTTGGTTAGTGAAAAAACATGTCTCAAAAATTAAGTACACAAATTTAGCCAAAATATTATTGTATGTTGAAAGCATGCTTACGTCTTTTTCTAGATACTCAAAACGTTTACAATCCGATTTATATGGTTTTCTTTCTGGAGATTCATATTTGAATTAGATAGCAAATAAATTAATTCCGAAAAAGAGTTTAAATCATTAATATTTTCCTTTTTAGTACAATAGTTGACCAAATGGTTTATTAATACGATTCTGTGCATTGATTGTGAAACTATTTTAAGAGTGAAAAATATAAATTACCTTCAGATTTATATTTTTGCATACATGAAGATAGAAAAGTGAGTTTTCATTTATGTTTTTTTTTTTAACATCAATATGATATCTTATTATCACCCAGAAATTGAATGATCCTCACATAGTATGCACCAACAATGTTTTGCTATTTATTAACACGTAATCTGATGGTGCTATAGTGTCAGCTAAATAAAAAAAGATCCATGACTTTTTCTTTCAGAAGAATACTTTAATAGATTCTCCTCAACAGTTTAATTCACTTTTATAACTATCGATGTGGTTTAGTATTCGCCATCTTCTTTTTCTTTCAGCTTATGATCGTACTTGTATCCCCTATTTAGGAAAACATTTTCCAAAAACTCTACAAAATCAAAACAGAATATCAGTTTCATATTAAAATTCAAATAACACAAACAAATAATAACAAAGAGATCAAGAACATTCAAATAAGTTGAATGCCAAAATAATATTTTTCCAAATTGTCAAAAAATGGAAAGCTTGAATCATATAAAACCAGAAAAAATGGAATCTACCAAGAGGTAAGTGGTTACCTTGACTGTGGCCTGTAGCCACAATCTAGAGATCCTCAGAAGAAGTAATTAGATCTGTATATGCTGTAGAGAGCTTCCAATATTCCAGAAAAATAAAAAAAGATTTAATAGTCTCCCGGAAAACATTTCCCTCTATCATACGCATGATAATACAAAAAACAATGAACAAAAAGAAAGAGGAGAAGATAATTAGTTTACCTGTGACAATCTGTTTGACCTACTATACCGTCTCTCAACCGCAATTGCCTCCTCGCCTCACCACGCACGTTGCCGTCTCCGGTTTCTCCATGCACGAAAGACTCGCGAAAGCAATAGCTGCTAAATGGATCTCCGCTTCGCCGCGAAAACGAAACTGGATTTCGGTTCACCGCTGTCTCGAAGCCTCTCTCCGAAAAACCACCGGCGCTCCGACAACGCGCGGCAACCGTCCACCATTCTCCGACGACAATAGATCCTTTACCGACATCACCTCACATCCATAAAGATCCTGAATCTACACTCTCCGCCGTTCTGCAGCCTCTCTCCGATGAGACAAAACTTTCGACTGTCTCCGTTCGTCTCCGTTCCATGCGACGGAGGCGGATCCCTCTCGTCTGGAAAAGAGAGAGAGAAGCAAACTCCAGCGAGGAGCAGAGTTTGAAACCGACGGAAACTGAGGCGGATAGAGGATCTGGTCTCTGGATCGATTACAGTGATTTCGTAGAGAAGGGACGGAGAAGAGAGAAAGAATCTGGTGGTTGAGAGACCATGAAACTCTTTCAATCAAATTGGATCACCACCGTTGGATTAAGACCAATAGACATAATCCGACGGTCTATAATGAATTAAGTTGACATTGAGAGAGAGGAAAGGGACAATGTTGACTTTTCATTTTCTACGTAAAGTTACTTTTCATCTTCGATTCGGCTTCTCTAATTAACCTTGTAATCAGGAAACGCCTTTTCCTTTATTGTCTGTTAACCAAAATCATGGCAGCTTTTATACTAGTTCATAAGAAATCTTCAGACAATTCAAAATCCTCTCTGTTTAGATGATAAAGTGCTCAGTGAACAATATTTGGATCGGGGAACTACATCGCCGCTACTATATTGGTTGTTTGAAAGTCAAGAGCAAATTGTCGTGCTGGTTCTGTTGCTGATCTTGTGAGATTTTGCAAACTCAGATTTGGTGATAGAAGATGCGGCAATGTATGAAACTCACACACTCTTTGTCTTCTCTATAATTCTCAGTGTTAAAAAGCCAAAACTTTAAAATTAGTGTCATTAATCAAGCACATGTTTAGATTCATGATGGTGGTGTGTTTATTTTGGTATGATTTGAAGCCTTTCATCTAATGATACTGTATTGTTTTTCGTCTATAGAATCAGCTACTCAATTGTCTACATCGATGCATAGAAAATCTAAGATTATCTTCATGTATTTACTATTTAGAAGAGAAGGTCAAGAGTTTTATCATGAGGATAGCTCTTCCTGAAACTCTTACTCTTGAAAGAAGGAGACTCAATACTGCCGGTTTTCCTAAAGCCATATGGCTGTCTCCAGGGAAAAGCTCTTCATTCCTGGCGTGTGGGGCCCTTTCTGGTCAGGTACGCATGCGTTTGCGTTTGCGTTTGGTCTCTCTATCCTTCTCTTTGACTGATATCTTAAATCTCACTCGAAAAACAAACTACAATGTAGCTATGGTTCCGGAGTATTGGCTAACAGAAGGAGGACAAAGTGCCACTGGAGCTTTACTTGATCACATAATCGAAAACCATGTTGCTTCTCCCCGTCTTGCAAACCATGCTGCATCTCAGAGTATTATCAAATCTTCCACTTCTCTTTTCACTTTCTGTTGAGATACAATTTGGTTGAATGCTGTTTTTCTTGATCTCTCGCAGAAGTCTTTGTGTTTGAACTGCTGAACAACAGTTTTTAAATCGATGGCGCAAGATGATACGAGTTCTCCATTTATAGCTTCCCTTACCTCAGACATGCATATCCTTCCTGACTTTCACGGAAACAGGTGAATAAAAACAGAAAGCTCTGCTCTGCTTCTGCTTTTGCTTTGCTTCTTTCCCCTTTTGAGATATAAACAGAAAACAGAGATGTGTTACAAATTCAAAAGGAGTTGTATTCGGAATGACACTTGATACATCCCAGAAGCAGTTGGCTCTTTTATACCTCGCCACAGTACAAGGAATCGCGTATGGTACACGTCACAGTGTAGAGCATTGCAATTAAGTTTTAAAGTAACAGAACAAGAGAATCACTTCCACAGGAATCATTTTTATCTGTCTTTGCATTTGTATGTTAGATTGACACACTGCTTGCTTGTGGCGGCCTTTCAAAGAACCCATTGTTCATCCAAGAACATGCTCATATCGTTGGTTGTCCGATTATTCTTCCCCGAGAATGATCTTTTGGGATCAGCAATCAGAGAAGCTTTTTACCATTCGATCAGATTGCAGACTCATGCCGGGAGAATTTGCAGCTTTTAAAAATAAAATCTGAATTTTCTGCAAAACTTAGCACCTGAGACCAGGTGTTGGCATCTTAACTTTTATAGTGTAGATATGGAAACGATATTATGGAAATTGTAGGGGTGAAACTCCAATGAGTTCTCTGCGGTTACTACCCAAAAGCAGGTACTCAACATTTTCTTATAAACAGTGTATGAATATGTATAAATGTTCAATTTTTTCATTTGTTCATATTATGTTGACTTCGCTAAAGTTCAGTGATTCTTTAGGCTTTTGTGTGAAGCTGGGTGTTCAGAAGAAAGCTTTAGTGGATCATAGTAGTTTCTTTGCTAAGAAACTCGCTGCGAAAGACTCGGTTTTCGCTTGTCTTGAGATTGAGAGCTGTGAAGACGCAGAGATATACGTTGAGACTATTGGTCTTATGTATTATAAAGAAATGAATCAACGTCTCATGAAACAGAACGTAAGCAGAGTCCTTCGTGTCCTCAAGGTATTACATCTAAATTCTCGTCTAATCAATCTCATTTTGGCGTTGATGTATCATAGAAGTGACTAAATTTGGTAACTTTAAGTTGCAGAGGTTCTTGGTTTCAGTTCATGTATTCAATCTTATTTGGATTACTTAGAAGCTGTGCCATGGGTTGGAGAAGAAGAAGAAGAGAAAAGTGATCTCATCGATTCTCAGATTGAAAACCGAAGGAGTGTTGGTGTTGTCACCACTCCTGTGCTCAAAAGAATTGCTTTCAGTGCTGCTGATCCACCAAAAGAGACGCTCTCTCGCATCATCGAGCTTGTTCTAAGAAGCAAAGAGGAGAAGAGTCGAGAGATGAAAACTATCGTCCTGAAGCTTCTTCTCAGGGACCAGAATGGAGCCAATGTATAGCTGATATCTTCAACGAAACAATCTACACCTCTTGCCAAAACTGTTTCAACTCTGTTTCGTCTCTGTTTCGACAAGCAGAGACCGATACCAAACTAATTGCTGTGGAAGCTGATAACTTGACGTCGCTGCTCGATGTTTTAGCGGAGAGACAAGCTGCGGAGGAGTTCTCAGTGACAAAAGGAGCTTTCTTTGCTACACGAGAAGCTTCCTTCGATGTCGCGTTACCATATAAGCCTTGTAACGTCTCGGCTCTTCGTAGGGATCGGAAGAGGAGAGTTGTTGCTTTCGAAAGACACTCAGCTTTTGCTGTTGAGCATGTGGTTGCAACTGTTGTTTAGTGATTACAATTGGTTACAGCATGGTTGCAGATCGTTCGATGGGAAGCTTGTAGAGGAAGGGCATTGGGAGGACGATACTGACGTTGCCGTTGGAAGATCAGCAGAGTATTTTGTTGTCGTGGCTTGGGAGTTTCTTGAACGGAAGAGATGGTGGGTGTCCAAATCTTCAGAGAGCTTATGAGGTTTGGTGGAGAAGATCGTTCATTAGACCTTACTCTGATCGTGAGGGTAATGGTTTGAGCCAGACGGATTCGACATCAAAAGAGTGATTTGATTTTTTCGTTAGAGTGTACGCGTAATGTAGCTATGGAATGTGTTTGGTTTTGCTGATCTTGATATCCGGTTCGGTTGTTTTGTTTTTGGTTTTGTTTGGTTTTAGATCGTTACCATGGAGAAGCAATGGCTTTGAAGGCTTTGTGGTTGATTTTTCTTTTCATGTTTTGTATTTTCGAAATTTTCATAATGTTGTATGTATATTTGTAATTCAATTTTTTACACCGAGTTTAATTGTTGGTTAAAACTTTATACTGGTTTTTTTGGTATATAACATGAATTGAGAGAAAAAGGTGGCCATTGGGCTATACATTATGGGTTGCTATTAGGTTGAATTTTTATACCAATTCTAACTGTCTGGTTAGAAATTTTTGGTCTACATTTGAGGGCCTCTAATTATGCTTCAAATGACGAAGGACGCGATAAAGCAATTTCTCTCATTACTTTACAAAAAAAAAAAAAACAATTTCTCTCATTATACCGGTATACTTGTCCAATCCGGTTGTCTCAGTTAAGTCGATATATAGTGAGTGTTTTTTATGGGTAAGAAAAGACGTAAATGTATAAAAACTATTATCAAAAAGATTATCTTGTTTCCAAACAAAATATGTTCATAATTACGTATAATTCGAAACGAAGAAGAGTCATTTTACATCGTATCAAGCAAGACGATATACAGTATATACAATTCTCTCCACGAAGATTTCTCTTTCTCGTCTTCACAACTACAAAATGTTCGAAAGTATTTTATCATCTAATATATATGTAAGACTCGCAAGACGCAAAGTATAAACCAATGCTTCCCAAACCAAAATAGTATAAAAAAGGCCAAGTGTAGGGAAAGTGAAGAACACATGGCGGATGTCCAGTCGGAATAAATACTCCTTAAACTTTCAATAGTTTGTTATTGTATAAAGAGTTCATTTCAATTGGATTATTAGTATACATTCATACTTTATAAGTAAAGCATATTAATAGAACTTGGTATATATCTACCGAAAATAATCTAATTCAAAATAAAATAAAAATTCTTCAAAACAGAACAATTCCTGGCTTTATAAGCTTGAAAATCATTAATTATAGTTTTTTTTACGTCACAAATAATTAATTTCACAAAGTATCCACTCCATAAACATTTCAAATAAATAATATAATAACTATATAAAAATTATACAATTTAATTTAATTAAACCATCATCAATTACGAAACTCATAAAAATTTAATCAAGATCGAACTCCATTACCGTCGGTATTGTAAGACCTTATCATTACTTCACACTCTTCATATGTTCTTGAATCACCCAACTTCGTAAGAATCTTTTGCAAACTCTTTGGCGTTATGCAGCCTTTGAAATATAAGAGATAAATTTTTGACAAGATTCAAATGATAACTAAAATATAAGTAAGAAAATTTTGTAATAGTCACAACCCGCGCATTGCGCGGGCTTAGCCCTAATTTCTATTTAAATTAATATAAAGTCCACTACGTTTTTAATTGTTGTTTGTTACTGTTTTCTTCTTTTTTTCTTTTTCATAACAACAATATGTACTCTTGTCTCGACTGAATGTTTTCTCTTTCGCAAAGTGATTTAACACTTCTCAAGAATTTAGTAAAGTCCTTACTCCTAAAATAAATATATTTTCTTTGTTTGAAACGTCGAAATTAGAACTTCATATGAAAAAAAAAATTACCCTATATACACAACAATGGTTTAAAACAAGTATTAAAAGGTTTTTTTTAAAAAAAAGCACAAATCTCATACTATATCGAGGTTATTTGCAAAGAAGCCTACAATTGAATAACGGTCAAAACCACATGTCATTTATATACAAAACAAATATAAAAATATACTAAAAGTAAATAAACCAAGTGGTCTTGGCCCAGTGGTATTGGACTCACAGCTGTGAGTACCGCCACTAGGGTTCGAGTCCCCTTTGGCCATCTAACCGCGCCCTTAACGATGGGATAGCGCGTAACCGGATGCAAGGCCATGTTGGATTAGTCTTTGGGCCTAGAAAGCCTTTGAGAAACCAACTTTAAAAAGAAAAATAAAAAAGAATAAACCTATGGCAATGAAGTGTTTAATCCAGCATCGATACAAAGCAATTTATTTCAAGTCGGATTGTGCACATCTCGTTAAAATGATTGATGAAGATGATTCACCGCCACCTTTTTCGTCGGAGATGGAAGAACACTTGATTCTCAGAAATTATTTTTAAGTTTTTACCATATCTTTTTTGTAAACCTATTAGTTTTTACCATATCTTGTAGTTCACGATCAATGAACATCCGAGCTGATGGGCTTGCCAAATTAGCTCCAGCTAATCTCTTGTAACTTTGTTGGATTCAAATGTGATAGTCATGGAGACTACTAACCCGGTTGATACAGCAGTTTAAGCAATAAAGTTTCGTTAGATGTCAAAAAAAAAAAAAAAAACCGATGGAAGTAAAATATTTTTAGTTAAGAAGTTACTCCCTCCGTTTCAAATTAGTTGTCGTTTTGGCAAAATGTATCTGCAAATATTTGGACGTATGCAAAACACGTCCAAATACGTCCAAATATTTGCAGATACATTTTGCCAAAACGACAACTAATTTGAAACGGAGGGAGTATAATAAGTCGATTATGAAAAAAAAAAAAAAAACAACCGCAATGGAAAAGGTAAATTGGTTTAAAATAAGTCTACTGAGATTAAGTTGAAAGGTTTAATATGGTTTTCACCATAGTTGAAATAATTTTTTTTTTAGCTATATATTTTTCAAAATTAAAGTTATATCATTTGGTACTATTTCAGCCAAAGGAAAAACACTACTAGAGATCGAGTCTTATCTGCTAGGCAAACCATGAGTGTCTTTCATTTTCCTACGTATTACTTCACTCTGTCTTGTTGGTCATTGTTATAGATCAAATGTGCTCTAAATAAAGATCTTTAAGTCCCCAAGCCAGTGAAAAAAGTAGGTTGGTAAAAAAGCTGATAGAAGAAGAAACAGAGTATCCTCATTTCGCCAGTTTCTTTGTTGTGTATATTCTCTATTCTGAAAAAAAAAACGAGCAAAAGAAGATTACATCTGCAAGTTTTATTTGTTCATATATAGAGGAGTTTTGGAACTAAGATCAAAGGGGAACTCTAAATTCATGCAAGTAATTTACTGTTTAAGGTTCTGTTATTAATTCTGATTGAAGATCAACTGAGTTAGGGCTAGATCATTGAGACAAACAGAGATATTGATCAAAATCCTTACAAGAATTAAAGAGTGAATGAAACTGCAGTCCTGAAAACAGTTTTTTTTTTCTGAATAGGAAGGGAGATTTTTTCATGAAAAGTATCTTTTTGTTTGTTTAATGTATATCATATAATACAGTGATGAGTAAATAATCTAAAAATATATGGAAGAAGTCTTTTGCTAATAGAACAAGTATAACTAGGAAGATAGGTGAATCATGTACTAAAATCTTATTTCGTGGTCTGAAGTAGAGACGCGGGAAAATTTTCAGTGGGGGACTTTTCAACAAAAAGTGATTCCACTCTGGTATTGTGTGTTAAAAGTTAAAACTTGCAATTTTGGCATTTCCATTAAAAACTTGTTTGTACTGTTGATCAAATCTTTTCTAAATAAGATTGCACGTTCTTTAAAATTCCACGTCAACAAATCAATGTCAGGATAAGAAAAACAAACAAGATTTGCTTACATTTCTATATTACTAAAAAAAAGTTACTCGGATTATATCCTCTATCCTCATAATCTTTACCATTCAGATCATAATAACAATTAGAAAAAGCATTCTCAACCATTTAATTTGTTTTTTTTTTTGTTTTTTGTTAATTCTTATAGAAAGTGTTGACAAGTGTTTAAACATGGTGTCCTAGATTTTTGGACATATTTTTGTATGCTTCCATATGACTAACGATGAACACCTATCAATTTTTTCCTCTTTTCCTTACAGAACCACCACCATTCAAAAAATAAGAAAGGAAGACACTGAGTCAAGGAAATAATTTTGCTAATCACTCATTTAAAACAAAAAAATAGAAAAAAGTCAAAAATAAACGCAAATTAAAACTTATAAATTCCCACATGTGATGACATTCTTCTCCAACAAAACACGTCATTTTCATTCTCCCACCTTAAACATTAGAAAACCCCCAAAAAAAAAACAAACAAAAGTCAAGAAAATGAGAGCCTCAACGACACTCTTGTGGAAACTATCTGTCATTGTTTTGCTTTTGCTGACGGTAGTTTCCGAGGCACACGTCGATCCTGAACCAGACCTCGCATCCACAGGGCAAAACAAGTGTGCACATGATGATGAGGCAGCTGATGTCACGGAGTATACTGCCAGACGTGCAGCAGCCGAAATAGAACGTGAAGCCGCCGAAATAAAAGTATAAAACCACCGCAACAAGGAAAACGTCAGGGTAAATATATGAATAATTAGATTAATAATAATTAAATGCCTTTGGTCGAAAAAATAAATAAATAATAATAATAAGATGTATAGTTTCTGTTTGTTTTTCTATAATTTATGGGTCAACGATTTATAGTTTCTTAAGGTGATCATAAGTATCACTAATTATATATTGTGTCTTTACATAACTTTAACTTTGTAATATATTATGAATTGAAGAAGACATTGTGTTCGATTTATAGCATACGCATCTATTTTATTTTATCTTGTCATCGATACGCATGCAAAACTCAACTCAATAGTTTACGCGGTTAAATTATTGGACATCGTTTGTCAATCGATGTCATAAGTCGATCACGTCCACATGCTTTTTTTTGGAATTAATCGATAGAATTTCATGATATTTACCGTCTCTTAAATACAAGTTCGAGGGACAATTCTCCAAATTCAAGGTGTGAATGAGAGATAGTGTTACAATAAGAGGTTCATCTAGGAAAATGATATGTGATGACCAAGAGCGATGAGAATTGACAAATTAATTATTTAGTTGAATGGCTTGTGAGTTCATCACTGACCCCAACCTTCTACGCTTTCCAACTTGGTGGTCTCATCGCAATTTCAAAATGAAAATTATCATCTGTATAAGGATTTTGAGTACTTCAAAATGAAAATGAAACAAGAAGAAACATGAGTTGATAACACACCTATACAAAGACCTCGAAGCGTCCACTGTCAAGATTAAAAAGAATTGGATCTCATTTGTTTTGATGTGAATGTCTCAAGGGAATAAAAATGTTAGATGAGAGATAATGACTTCTTTCTTACGCATTTGAAACACAGTCATGGTTTGGCTAGCAGATAAATCTCAGTCTCTAGTAGTGTTTTTCCTTTGGCTTCAATCACGGTTTGAAGCGGAAGCGGGACGTTACGTGATTGAAGCCAAAGGAAAAACACTTGCAGAGATTGAGATTTCTCTGCTGGGAAAACCATATGACTGTGTCTCATTTTCCTTCGTATTACTTCACTATGTCTTGCTGGTCACTGTTGTAGATCAAATGTGCTCTAAATAAAGATCTATAAGTCCCCAAGCCAGTGGAAAAAGTGGGTTAAAGAAACTGATAAAAGAAGAAACAGAATATCCTCATTTCTTGCTTTTCTTTGTTGTGGTATATATTCTCTATTCTGAAAAAAAACGTGCAAAAGAAGATTACATCTGTAAGTTTTAATAGTTCATGGAGGAGTTTTGGAACTAAAGATGAATCCTTGAGATCAAAGGGGAATTCGTAAATTCATGCAAGTCATTTACTGTTTAAGGTTATGTTCTTAATTTCAACAAAAACTATTTCCACTCTTGTCTTGGGTTAAAACTTGCAATTTTGGCATTTGCATTAAAAACTCGGAAGGTGTTCTTGGGTCAAAACTTGATATGGGTTATGATGATAGTGTTGGGGCAGATACATGAACACAAAAGTTGTGTTGTGCAAGAAAGGAAGGCTTTTATTGGAGTTGAAGACATATGTCAACTCACATTCAGAGAAACGAGACTTCGATATCGTCACATTGGAAAAACTTTCTTAGTATTGGTTCACTATAAGTCCACAAACCAAGATATCTTTGCTAGCCAAACCATGAGACTGTCTTTCCATGCATATTATTACTTGCCTGTGTCTTGTTGTTTGTAGATCAAATATTTTCTAAATAAGATTGCACGTTCTTTAAAATTCCATTTTCCACGTCAACAAATCAATGTCAGGATAAGAAAATTAAACAAGATTTGCTTACATTTCTATATTACTAAAAAAAAAGTTACTCAGACTATATCCTCTATCCTCATAATCTTGACCATTCAGATCATAATAACAATTAGAAAAAGCATTCTCAGCCATTTAATTTGTGTTTTTTTGTTTGTTTGTTTGTTAATTATTATAGAAAGTGTTGACAAGTGTTTAAACATGGTTTCCTAGATTTTGGGACATATTTTTGTATGCTTCCATATGACTAATGATGAACACCTATCATTTTTTTCTTCTTTTCCTTACAGAACCACAACCATACAAAAAAACAAAGGGAGACATTGAGTCGAGGAAATAATATTGCTAACCACTCATTCAAAACGAAAAAAAGAAAAATGTCAGAAATAAACACAAATTAAAACTTATAAATCCCCAAATGTGATGACCTTCTTCTCCAACAAACACACCATTTCTCATTCTCCCACCCGAACATTACAAAACCCTAAAAAAAATAAAAAAAAAAATCAAGAAAATGAGAGCCTCAACGAGACTCTTATGGAAACTATCCGTCATCCTTTTGTTGACAGTAGTTTCCGAGGCACACGTCGATCCTGAACCAGATCTCGCATCCACAGGGCAAAACAAGTGTGCACATGATGAAGAAGCAGCTGATGTCACCGAGTATACTGCCAGACGTGCAGCAGCCGAAATAGAACGTGAAACCGCCGAAATAAAACCACCGCAACAAGGAAAACGTCCGGGTAAAAGACATGGCGGCGGTGCCATCCCCCAAGGAGCTGAGATGAATTGGCCCGGTAAATGGGAGTTGTTCATGAAAAGCTCCGGCGTGTCCGCCATGCACGCCATTCTCATGCCGTTGATCAACAAAGTCCAGTTCTACGACGCAACCATTTGGAGAATTTCCACGATCAAGCTCCCTCCAGGCGTACCTTGCCATGTTTACGACGTAAAGGCCAACAAAATTGATTGTTGGGCTCACTCTGTCCTCGTCGATATCGAAACCGGAAACATGAGGCCTCTCGCGGTAATAAAAACTACTACTCTTTGCTTCTGTTTCATATTATCGTTTTTCAACCTAAATTTTATTCTTATCTTTCTTTCTGTTTAACTTAAATTTTTGTAATGCTTTTATTACATTAAAAAAAAAAAAAATTATTAAATTTAATAATTTAATAACAAATTTTGTATTCTACTCTTATTCTACTCTTTCTTTCTGTTTAACTTAAATGTTTTTAATTTTTTTTTCATACTGACAAAAACTTTTACTCTTTTTTTTCTGTTTCATATTAAGTGTCCTTTTTCAACTTAAATTTTATTTCATTATAAGTGTCATGTTATATTGACCATCCTGGTTGATTTAATGGCAGCTTACAACGGACACATGGTGTTCATCGGGAGGTTTAACGGTGAACGGGACTTTGGTTAGCACTGGAGGTTTCCAAGGAGGAGCAAACACGGCAAGGTACCTTGCAAGCTGCGACAACTGCCAATGGATTGAGTATCCGAAAGCATTGGCTGCAAGAAGATGGTATTCAACACAAGCCACTCTCCCCGATGGTAACTTCATCGTTGTTGGGGGCCGTGACGCTCTCAACTACGAGTACATCCTACCCGAAGGAATGGAGAACAAGAAACTCTACGACTCACAACTTCTTAGACAAACAGATGATCCAGAAGAAAACAATCTTTACCCTTTTGTTTGGCTCAACACCGATGGCAACCTCTTCATTTTCGCAAACAACCGTTCCATCCTCCTCAGCCCGAAAACAAACAAAGTCATCAGAGAGTATCCTCAGCTCCCCGGTGGTGCTCGTAACTACCCCGGTTCCGCTTCTTCGGCTCTTCTACCCATCCGCCTCTACGTCAACAACCCTCCTTCCATTCCTGCTGATGTCCTCATCTGCGGGGGTGCCAAGCATGATGCATACTATCGTGCCAACACTAAGAAAATTTACGGTGCAGCCTTGCAAGATTGCGCAAGAATGAGCCTCAACAGTGCCAGGCCTGTTTGGAAGATAGAGCAGATGCCAACGCCGCGCGTAATGAGCGACACTGTGATCCTCCCTAATGGAGAGATTCTCCTTGTTAATGGCGTGAAAAAAGGAAGCTCTGGTTGGGGCTTAGGCAAAGATCCCAATCTCTCTCCGACCTTGTACATGCCTAGCAAACCTTTGGGCCAACGTTTCAAACTGCTCGCTGCTTCCACTATTCCCCGTGTGTACCACGCCATCGCCATCGCTCTACCTGACGGTAAAGTTCTCATCGGCGGCAGCAACACTAACGACGGTTACAAGTACAACGTTGAATACCCAACGGAGCTTCGCATCGAGAAATTCTCACCGCCTTATCTTGACCCGGCTCTTGCCAACATGAGACCAAAGATTGTGAACACCGCTACACCGAAACAGATCAGGTATGGACAAAGGTTTAACGTCAAGATCGAGCTTAAGCAAGCAAATGTGGTAAAGGAGAATGTGATGGTTACAATGTTGGCACCACCGTTTACTACACATGCTGTGTCAATGAACATGAGGTTGCTTTTGTTGGGTATTTCTGAAGTCAAGAAGGAGATTGGTGATTTTCATCAGATTCAAGCTGTTGCTCCTCCAAGTGGAAACGTTGCTCCTCCTGGTTATTATCTTCTCTTTGCTGTCTACAATGGTGTCCCAAGCATTGGAGAATGGATTCAGATTGTTTGATTTTAGATTTTCTATGTATATATAGTTTTGATGGACAATATTTTTTAGTTCGAATTCTTTTCCTCACCCATAACATTTTTGTAAGGCAAAACTTTGTTTTTTCCTACTCATGTAAAAAGTAAATTTTTGATTTTTCTAACTACTAAATTTGGGCTAAATGTTTTTTCTTGTGTGACACAAGCAAAGCAACGCTCCACAAGAACAAACACCAAATTAAAGACAATATGATCAATCTATATACAATTTATTTTTACACTTTAAAAGAAAATTTTGATGATCAAGGACAATATTTGATTTAGTGTTTTCAAGCTTTCTTTTTATAATCAAGCAACGTTTAATTTCTCCTTCTTAGGTCTGAAAAAATTGTGACATTTTGTTATAATATATGATGATGATGAATGATGTTAACAATGTATGATAATGATAAATGATCATCATTGCCAAACGCAGACGCGAATTCTTGCCTCTGTAACGGCAACACGAATGCGGCATCTATTTGTTGGTCAAATCTCACACTCACTGCTATTTTCTTGTCTCGCTTCTCTCATCAGACTCGGAAGATCCTCTATTTGAAACCTATCTTGATCTTTGTTTCTCTTTCTTAGCGTTTATACACTTGGCGTTTCCTTGTCTCTTAAGTTAGCTTGGAATTTCCTTGCCTCTTAACTCATAAGTTAGTAGAGCTCTTTGTGATTCAACTTCTTTAGGAAGCAAAAGCTGGATCCGTGTTAACAGTACGTACGATATCTTCAATTTTGCACAAGATTAATAACATAACTATCGAAGCTTTTGATTTGATCCAAAACTCATCAAATTTGATTACATTTCCCCTGTTAGTTGCCTGCCTTTTGTGGGTATTTACACTTATCCGCCTAGATCGCAAACACTTTCTGTTGAAAATATTTATTAAGTATGCAGTTACATTTTTGCTAAAAACAAATTTCAAAAAGGGTCAATTGGTAAGAGTAGGCTACTCCATGGCAAACCAATTGGATGGAGCCTCAATCTTTCGACTTCATGGGATTCATCACTACGATTTCTGCTCATGGTATCTCCTGCCCACACCAGTTGACAATTTAATCCAATGATTTACACCTTTATATACTAAGACTACATATTTGATAACTACCGATGTGGGATTCAATTATTATTTCAGATTTTTGGCCCACATTTATATGTCTTGGGCCTCAAGTATCCTGATTTCCAAACTGTTACTTTCTCTCTCGTCTACGTCCTCTCGTTTCTCTAAAAAGACTCCGCGTTTCCTTGCCTATCAAGTGAGCAGAAGCAGCTCTTTTCTTGTGTTTCTGTTTTTTCTTGTGTTTCTGTTTTTATCACAACAGGTATGCATGCTCATATTGTGTGACATATATATATATATATATATATATATATATATATATATATATATCCTTGCTCATATGACATGCTCATATGAGCTGAGTTTGTGGCATAGTAACAGACTAATGTATATATATTTCTTTGACAGGATCATCTGACACTGATATTTCCGTGATTACACTCCCACTGATTTCTATGAATCAGAAACTCTTGTACAACATTGTAAATAAACAAAGAAAATATTTTATTTGCTCATCATGATGTACATATGCTTTTTGATGTTATGTGCGTGAAGGGTATGGTATGGCGGAGGCAGAAAATAATTTTGTTGGGGGCATTATACAAATTGTTAAAGGATTCAAGATTATAATTGCCAAAAACAGAGGGGGCATTGTTGGATTTGTTTAGAAATAACATGAGATTTTGAGAAAGCATTGGGGGCATATGACCCCATCTTGTTGAATGTGGCTCCGCCTCTTTGACCGAGACTTCATGTATCATCATTCATAAGCACTATGGTTTCAAATTAGGACAATTAATTGTTTTACTCATTTTGGTTATACAGCTAATTCAACTTAAAAACAAAATCGGATGTTTCTTCTTGTTCTTAAGGAATGAATAGTAGTTTTGGACTCGTTATAATTAATTTTTAAAAAGGGTCAATTGGTAAGAGTAGGTAGGCTACTCCATGGCAAACCGATAGATGGAGACTTAGTCCCTCAATTCCAAAGAAACCAATACCATCTCTACGATTTCTGCTCATGGTAACTCCTAACCCCCACCAACTGACAATCTAATCTAAAGATTTAAACCTTTATATATTAGACTATGTCTTTGATAACTACCGATGTGGGATACAGTTATTATTTCATATTTTTGACCTACAATTAGTCTCAGGCTTCAGTTATCTTCTAAATCAAGATTCAGGATAAGCAGCCAGACGTTTCTCCTTCTTAGGTCCCATAAAATTCTAATATTCTGTTCTAAGAAATGATGATGATGATGAATGATGCTAACAATGAATGATAATGATAAAAGATCATCGTTATCATCACGTCATCTATATCCTCCTTGCCTAAGAGATAGTAATCTTCTATTCATCTATTAAACGGTTCGTGTCACCATCTTGTTCACGTTCAATATATATCTTCTTTGCTTTGGCATTTAGAGTCAATTTTAGAACGTTATTTCATTTTATTTTCATGATTAAATATAATGGAATTGCTCCGAGAAGGTTTTTGAGATTTTTTTCCTAGGTTTCAAATTAGTTACTTAACAATGGTTTAGGTATGCATCGAACTTAAACAAGTACAATGCAACCGCAACACAAAGCGCTGCTCTCCTCCTCTCACTTACCTGTTCAGACTTGTAAGATCCTCTCAATCTCTCATTCAAATCTATCTTGATCTCTCATGGTATCTCAAGTTTTTAATGTGTTTCAAACGTTCAAGAACTTGGTGGAATCGATTTTCACTCAAGTTAAGAACTTTGTATACTGATAATGGGGGTGAATACATTGGTCTCCGGACGTTTCTTGCGAGCCAAGGTATATCACATATGACAAGTCCGCCTCGTACACCAGAACATAATGGCATTGCGGAAAGAAGACATCGACAGATAGTCGAAACAGGCTTAGCCCTCTTGTCTCACGCATCTATGCCAAAGTCCTATTGGACATATGCTTTTGGTACGGCGGTCTATCTTATTAATCGTATGCCAACTCCCACATCAGATTTTAAAAACCCTTTTCAAATTTTATATGGTATATCTCCTAACTATGAAAATTTAAGAGTCTTTGGGTGCTTATGTTTTCCTTGGTTAAAACCATATGCTAGTAACAAACTTGATACACGATCAACACCATGTGTTTTTATTGGTTACTCTATTTCTCAAAGTGCATATTTTTGTCTTGACCAAACCAATTCGCGTATCTATACTTCTAGACATGTTGTCTTTCACGAAACTGTCTTCCCTTTTGCAGCACCATCTCCGATTCAAAGTTCACATTCTTCCGTGTCTGAAGAGAATGAATATGCACCGGTGACCACTCCTGCTGTTCAGATTATCTCTCAGCCGCAATCTCAACAGCTATACCGGTGGAAGTTGTAACATCATTACCCGCTCAAACGGAGTCCACCAACACCTTACTTCCTCAACCAGAGGTGCATGTGACACCGAGAACAGAACATACCACCACTGCCTCTGAGGATCAGTCGTCCGCCTCCTCGTTAGAAACAACTTCTGACTCACCAATTTCGTCTCCAGCTCCAGTTTCTCCATCACCGCCACCTCCTCCACCCGCACCGACTCGCACAAGAAACCGCACACGCAAACCAGTTCAAAAGCTTAATCTCCACACCACTGTTACACCATTGCGAGATTATATTCCACAATCGGTTGCCGAGGCTCTTAAGGATCCTCTTTGGCGTAAAGCCATGCTTGAAGAAATCAATTCCCATATTAGAAATCATACATGGCATCTGGTTCGTAACATTGATGTTTCTAATCTTGTAGGTAACAGGTGGATATTTACTATCAAGAGAAAACCCGATGGTTCCATCAAACGCTATAAGGCCAGGCTCGTCGCACAAGGCTACAATCAACGACCCAGAATAGATTACCATGAGACGTTTAGTCCGGTGGTCAAACCATCCGTATTGTTCTCAGCACGGCCGTTTCTCGCGAGTGGCCTCTTAGACAACTTGACGTCAACAACGCATTTTTACAAGGAAAATTAGAGGATGAGGTTTACATGATACAATGAGTTGCACACGTTTTTACTACAAGCTGGATTTACAAATTCAGTTGCGGATTCTTCTTTGTTCATCTACAACCAGAATGGGATCCTCCTTTACATGCTTGTCTATGTCGATGACATAATCATCACCGGCAACAGTCCACCGCATATTTCCCGGTTTAACGCTTCTCTCTCTCAACGCTTTTCCCTTAAAGATTTAGGCGCTTTATCTTATTTCTTAGGTATTGAGGTTACTCACACTAAACATGGATTACACTTGACACAATATCGTTATATTGCATACTTACTTCATAAGGTGAATATGACGAATGCAAAAACAGTGGCCACACCAATGGAGGCAAACTCTTCATGTAACATCCCTCTTTGTCATAAATGTGGAGAGGCTTAAGAGAATTGATTTGGCTATCTATGTCAACAAAGTGCACTTACCTTTTCGGTCAAAGGTCTATAAGTAACTCCAGAGTTAAGCGTGTTTGGGCTGGAGTAATTGAAGGATGGGTGACCTTCCGGGAAGTGGTTTCCGAAACCGTGTGAGTGAGGCCAAAAGACGGGGAAAGGTCGGATGTTGATTGCAGGGATAGTAAACAAGTCATTAGAGCCTCTCAAAAATAACGGACCGGCCGTTGGACAGGGGTGAGGCCCACTAGCCGAGATGGGCTTGCGGGCCAGAGAGAGGGCGTGGGTGACTCACCGGGAGGGACGGTCGGGGCGTTATACTTCACTCACCTTACACTCGGGTACGGCCTTAGATGATGCTACGGAATATTCGCATGGTGGTGGGCAGTCTCCAATATTTGTCTCTTACACGTCCGGATATCTCGTTTGCCGTCAACAAGTTATCACAATTCATGCACCGACCGACGAATGAACATTGGGCTGCAGTGAAACGTGTTCTCCGATACCTCTTGGGAACCAAAACACATGGCATTTTTCTTCACGCCAAGAACACTCCAACTCTACATGCATTCACAGATTCTGATTGGGCAGGTAACAAAGATGATTATACCTCTACAAGTGCCTACGTTGTCTATCTTGGAAGTCATCCTGTGGCATGGTCGTCTAAAAAGGAAACGGGAGTAGCTCGATCATCTACCGAGGCTGAGTATCGAGCTCTAGCATCCACCACATCCGAGATTTGCTGGACTATGTCACTTCTCTCTGAACTGGGCATCACCAGCACCACCACACCTGTCATTTACTGTGACAATATTTAAGCCACTTACCTTGCGGCTAATCCCGTCTTCCACTCCAGAATGAAGCATATTACCTTGGACTATCATTTTGTGCGCCAATTTGTTCAAGGAGGACAGCTTCGGGTCACTCATGTTACTTCTGATGACCAATTGGCCGATGCTCTCACAAAACCACTCCCACGCACTCGGTTTCAAACGCTTACGGTCAAGATCGGACTCTCCAATGGCCGTCCGTCTTGAGGGGGTGTGTAGAATATGGAAACACCAACGGCTAGTCAAACTGAATCATCTAAATGATTCTATAGATATTATGTATTTACTAGTGTATATTCTCTTTTCCTTGTAGAGCAAGCTCACGCTCTGTATATAAACAGAGTACAGAACATCAATACAATCACTAAATTCTATTGAGTTATCATAGAGGACTCGGCGTTTCCTTGCCTCTCAAGGTATATAAGCCGGCGTAAAACGGATATTTCCCAAAGATAGCAGCTGGCGGAACACAAAGCTTGAAAACATCTCAGAAAAAAAGACAACAAATGTTTATTGGGGTTGAAACCACTAGCATGAACTCATCATATTGTCCTAGAGAGGACCAAAGACTCCACCGCCTTCTCAACGCAGTCTTGTCAATTTTGTACGTTGATGTGCCATAACTATTCAGTGACGTCCTCAGGGCCGGGCGTATAACTTTTGGGGTCCAATACAGAATATAAAATTGAAGCTCTGAAATTGGATTTTCTAGCTAAAAGATAAATAAATAAACCCTGAAATTGTATTTTCTAACTAAAAAATAAATAAAAAAAAAATTATAGGACTTAATTTTTTTCAGAAAAACAGGTGTGACCACATTCTAGAATTGTCAGACCCGGTCTTGGACATCCTTGCTCTCAATTTTTTTTTGTCAACATCTCATTTGTTAATCACGGCAATTCCCTGAACCATCTCGCAGACGATGGGCTAAGCATGCACGCATTTTCGCCGACTCTAGGATCCTTGCTCTCAATTTGTATGCAATTTCATTTTTGCTAAACAAATATTAAGTAAAATGTACTTAATAAGTATGTAATTGCATACTCTAATTAAAAATGTAAGTATGCAATTACACTTTTGCTAAAAATTGGCTCATGTTTTTATTCAGCAAAAAAATTCTTTCGATATCAAAATCAAATTTGTTTGAAAGTTATGTATGTGCATTTCTACACTCGTAATTTAATTCTAAAAATTATGTTATATCAATATCAAAATTAAAATTGTTATATCAATAAAAATTTCAAAAAGGGTCAATTGGTAAGAGCAGGCAACTCCACGGCAAACCAATTGGATGGTGCCTCAATCTTTCGACTTCATAGACATCAACTCTACATTTTCTGCTCATGGTAACTCATGCCCCAACCAGTTGACAATTTAATATAATGATTTACACCTTTATATACTAAGACTACATATTTGATAACTACCGATGTGGGATTCAATTATTATTTCCGATTTTTTTGCCCACATTTATTTGTCTTGAGCCTCAAGTATCCTGATTTCCAAACTCTTACTTTGTCTCTTTTCTACGTCCTCTCGTTTCTCTCAGCGTTTCCTTGCCTCTTTTCTTCTGTTTCTGTTTTTATTACAACAGAAATGCAACAGGTATATATGCATGCTCAAATCATGTGACATATATATGAGATGAGTTTGTGGCATAGTATCAAACTAATGTATATATATATTTCTTTGACAGGATCATCTTAAACTGAGATTTCCGTGATTACACTCTCACTGATTTCTATGAAATCTGAAACTCTTATACAACATTGTAAATCAACAAAGAAAATATTGTCTTTGTTCATCATGATGTACATATGCTTTTTGATGTTCGGTGTGTGAAGGGTATGGTATGACCGAGACTTCATGTATCATCATTCATAAGCACTATGGATGAAGGTGACATTGTATCTGCAACAACAACGCATGCAAAATGCGGCATCTCTATCTTGATCCAATCTCACACTCGCTGCTCTCCTCCTTCTCTCACTTCTCTCTTCAGACTCAGAAGGATCCTCTCTCTTTGAAACCTATATTGATCTCTCTCATTTTTTTTTTGCTTCTTAGCGTTTATAGGACTCGGCGTTTCCTTGCCTCTCAAGTTATCAGACAGAGCTCTTTCTGATTCGACTTTAGCAAACAAATGCTGGATTGTGTTCTAAAGAACCGTATTCACAGTATAATAAGCTGAATGGTTCATTCTCCGTACCCTAGTTAAAAGAAATCAATGTACAATAACTTCGATTTCCAATAAGATTATAATAAAATTGTTAGACATAAATATCGATCGAAGCTTTTGATTCAAAACTCATCAAATTTGATTATATTTACCCTATAATATTTCCTTTTTCGGGCATTTCTTCCACAGTTATCCACCATAAATAACTAACACTTTCTGCATAAACTACAAAAAAAAGCAATAAGTATGGCTTTTAACTATGCAGGGAAATTTGAGTTCTGCGATCTTTTCTTCTCATCTTTTCCAACTTCCTTCTTTTCTTCTGTTTCTGTTTTTATCTTTCTTATTTTTGTTCTTCTCTTACGAGATTTCTATCTACAGTCATGAGACTCATGACAGATAAGAAACTTGAATTTGACTACGTTTAATATGATAATTCATATCTCGAACCAAACTTGTTTTTCGTTTTCATCCTTTAATAGACTAATACGCGTATACCAATTTGTTGTTGTTGTTGTTGTTGTTATAGTTTTAAACAATGCTTGAAAACAGTTTTATATTTGCGATTAATATTATAAAGTATAATTCAAATAACACCCATATTTTAATTCCAATTTGTTTGGTTAGCGATTGATTTTCAAACATATATTTTTACATCATATCATATGTCTATATATCCTTAACTTTTTTTGTTTACTCACTACTACATAGAACGGAAATGGACTCTGATTTTCCGCCACCGCTTTTTGCTAGATTCATTCTTCCTATATTAGGAAAATTTAGATGTTTAATAATAACTGAAGATGGAAGTCGAAATATAATAGTCTTGGATTAATAGAGTGGTTTTTATTATAATGTTTAGAAAATAAATAAGATTTAGAGTTATTAATTGAAAAGTAGAGGAAAAGTCATGCAACAATATCAATTAATGGATTGTTGATACAACGTGAAAGGTGAAACAGCCGACGGTTTTGAAACCTATAATGACTGCAACGATTTAAAATAGATGATGCTCTCTTTAAAAGTTTTGCCACGTGAGAATCCATTCACTGTCCAAGTATCAATCTTATGGAGAGGGTGGACCTTAATTCATATATAAGATTTAATTAAGGTTGAGTAAAAAGATGTGGGTGGAACTTCCACGTCACTTTTTGAAACTTTTATGTGTATTTCTTTCTTCATTTTCATCTCATGTAATTTATTCAAAAAATATTTAAGTGGCGAAGAGACAAAACCAGATGCATGGCATTATACAAAGTCAATTATAATGATATATAACTAGAAATGTTAATTTTTTTACTCAATTTGGTAATATAGCTAATTCAACCCTTTTTGTGAATCTGTGCAAATACAGCTAATTCAACATAAAAAAAAATCATAGCTGGAGTTGTCTTTTTCAAGAAACAAAATCGGATTAAATATTTTTCCTAATCGGCATGTGTGACTAAACAAAAGCCATTCACATGAACGTTCTTGCCAACAGTTTTGTTAGATTTGTTTCTCATTTATTTTTTGGTAATACACCCGATTTTATAGATTTGTTTCCCATTTACTTGTTTTAGTTTTCAATTTTTATTTTCCAGAAATTTCTGAGACGCTCCTACACATGGTTGTCTGCTATAAAATCCCCACAATCTCCTCTCTATCTCCATACATCTCTAATCTCTAAACACCTTTCTCTCTGTCTCTCTCTCTCTTTTGAGAAGAAGCTAAGCCTGAGGTTTTTCACTCAATTCTATCACTTTTTTTCTTCTGCATCATTGATTCCTCCACTCATTCTTATTCAGGAAAAAATAAATAATTTCCATGGTTTGAGTGAGTCTCCACGATCTACTTTATGTTGATATACTTTATGTTGTTAATATGATGCATGCGAAAATGATCTCCATGATCTTTGTTTGTTTTGACGTTTTCTTATGTGATTCAATGATTGCAGGCGTTTAATGATCCTGCTTGCCTGTCAGATAGTTTTGCTATTTTACATCTGGAGATAATTCGTTCATTAAATTTTCAGAGGCAAAACATCTAACACATGAAGTAATTGACTGCTCATGAAAACATTTTCACCATAACATTTTGTTGTACAAGGCTATCATGCATTGTTCGTATAATCTGTCTGATAGACCTGTCATGGTATGTTCACTATATATCTCATTCTCTCTTATGCTTGTTTGTATAATCTGTTTTCATGGATTCTTTAAACTGTATAATCTGTATATATCTCATTATCTATTGTTGTTTGCTGAAACTGTTAATTATCGAGTCTATTATAGTTTTTTTTTTTTTTTCTTTTTTTTAAATCTATGTTTTCATGGACTTGACTGTGCTTACCATGTATGAAAATATTGTGTCGATAAATCAGTGTTCACCCATATTTATAGATAACGGAAATGTGTGAATAAGCTAATTCATCCATTAATACGTTGTTAATATATCCTGTTTTTGTTTACTTGGATTAGTTCTCTGGGACTTGGTAGTTATCATGATGGCCAATTTATCGTGTCCTTAAAAATAGATGACTTTGTACACTTTCGTATTGGTCTTTTGTTGCAGTTTGTGGACTGTTTTTTTTTTAAAATTCATTTTTTTGACCAGTTATTGTTCGTGTCAATGATAAAACAATAAGTTTTGCTGAGTATTTGATATCGTGAACTTTACAAGTTGTAAATATTCTGACAAATTGACAATTAAGCAGAGCTAATGTATACTTTGTATGTGTCTTTTCAGGGACCATGTGGGCACAGTTTCTATCTCAAGTGTTTTGAGAAATGGACTGTTGGTTAGGCAAGCGTACTTGTACAAAATGCGC